TTAGATGTTCCAGTGAAGATATCCATCAGGCAGGTAGATATATGAGTGCGGAGTTCAGGGGAGAGTTCAGGCTGCAGCTATAAATCTGAAAGTTGTCAGGGTAGAGATGGTGTAGATGGGATTTAAAGCCACGAGGCTCGATGAGCTCTTTCGCACTAGTGGTTCTCAACAGGGGTAATTGTCGCCTAGGAGACACTTGGCAGTGTTTGGAGACACATTGTTGTCACGACTGGGTGGTAGCAGTAGGTACTACTGGCATCTAAGGGGTAGAAGGCAGGGAATTGCTAAACATCCCACAATGCATGGATAGCTCCTGGCAACAAAGAACTATCTAGACCAAAATATCAACAGTGCCCAGTTGAAAAACCTCTGATTTAGTTCTTAGATTTTTTTTTAAAAGGAAGTTAGCATACATGGAAGTGAAAATAGCTGTGAAGCTTGAGCCTTGGGGTCCTCCAGTGTTTTGGGTTAAACGTGGGCATTTGCAACTAAATGCACTAAATACACATGAAATACAGAGCCCAAGACACAGCAAGCCCTCAGCAAATGACAACGGTCACCATCATGATGTTCTTAACTTCACAAAAGCAGTTCTGATCTGTCTGCCCCTTGGGGTAAAATAAATCAGAGCTTGGGGGCTCTCTAGAGGATCTCTGTTCCACCCCTCTGTGTGTACACATGGGGAACCAGACCCAGGGAGGGGAAGGGACTTGACCGAGATCCTTTGGTGGGCCAAAAACCCACGGTTCATGCCGATGACTTTTGATTATTCCCATTTTACAGATGAACACGCTGAGATTTAGAGATTGAGTCACTTGCCTCAGCCTACGTGGTGGTTCCACAGCAGGGCCAGAGTCAGAGTTTGAATAGCTTCATTTCCAATCTGGTGTTTTTTTAAACAATGACAGTAGCAGCAACAGCCATTGCTACTGCTAGGTGCCCACTTGGTGCCAGGCACTGCTGCACACTTCACTGAGGCAGCTGGGTCAGGAGCTGGGGCAGGGGCCGGCCAAGGAGACGTGAAGCAGACACCTCGCCCCGCCCTTCTTCATTACCCGCTCCTCTTTGTTGACGAGTTTGTTGAGGATGTCTCCACCTGCACCTTGCTCAGGCGCCTTGGCCAGTGGCTGTTGTGCTCTCGGCCAGCTGTGTTGTCATCTCCTCTGTCCCCACAACTCCCCTCCCACTACATTATTTGCCATAAAAACAATAATACAATATCAGTAAAAGGCTTTTTTTTAAAAATCACCACTCTGAATCTCACCATCTTAGCCCAACAGCTGTGTAATTTTTCTGTCTTGTTCAAATCTCTGCCCATATGTCTGTAGTGCACATTTTTACACGCTTGTCATTGGGATGTGGAGAGCGTTYGGGATTCTGCTTCATTTCCTTGTGCTGTTCCGTGTGCTGTGCTGGTTATAATTATGTTTATTGCTTGCAGAAGTCTGTTGAGTGGCCCCGGATTGCTGGGCTGTTTGTTTCCAGATCACAGTTATTATAAATAATACTACATTGGAAAACGCAATGCTTATAGTTATGTTTTYTTTTTTTCCTCTTGAGTCATATTCTTTAGAGTAAATACTCAGAAGTGGTTAAAGAAAAGGGGATTGACATAACCTCGTTTGGAAAGATGATTTTACTGCTGCTGGTGTCCCGTGTCAGTGCATGTGTTTATTTATGAATTACTATAGGCCAGACAACTTGGCCCGTATCATCTCATGTAACTCTCTTATTTGCCCTTCAAGTAAGTGTTATTATCTCCATATTTTTTAAAATCCAGGAACCTGCTGTCAGTGTTCAAAGGGGTTAGTAACTTGCCTGAAGTCATAGAACTAATGAGGGGTAGAGATACTTGTGAACTTTGATGGACTATGACCCCAGTCTCCTTTTCATGAGATAAAGTTGAAAGTTTTTTGAGGTTTTTTTTTTAGTACTGGCGATGGAACTCAGGGTCACTCAACCACGAGCCACATCCCTAGCCCTGTTTTGTATTTTATTGAGAGACAGGGTCTCATTGAGTTGCTTAGCGCCTCACTTTTGCTGAGGCTGGCTTTGAACTTGAGATCCTCCTATTTTAGCCTCCCGAGCTACTGGGATTATAGGCATGTGCCACCGTGCCTGGTTGTTTCCGAGTTTTTGCTTCCTTGTGAGCATTACTAAAATCAACACATTTGGGGCCAATTTAACAGATGTTTAACATTACCGTCTCATTTTAATGTGCATTCTGACCTCTGATCTTCCAGTGGCCTACAGCCCTGTGGAATTCAGAGGAATGGGGCTTCGAAGTCCCCAGCTCTGTTTTGTCAGTGTGTTGGCAGCTGAAGAGAGTATCTGGGTGCCAGATGGTTTTTAGAAACAGAGAGGCTCGTGGATCCGCACCCTTCAATCAACATATCAGTCTGTAGTTGACTCATGCATGATTTCAGCCCCCTGGATCTGCCCAGGTTTGATCAGGGGAGAGAGGGAGGGAAGAGAGGAGTGGGCCCTTTTGGAGACCCCTCCGWCCAGTGAGGGAAGTGCCAGCTTTCACAGCTGTTGGAGAATGGAGTGGTCGAGCATGAAGTTGGGAGTGTCTTTCTCCAAGTCACAGGTCGCTATCTTGGGCCCTGCTCGGTGGTTTTAAGAAGCTTGAGCAGGTTGCCGGTTTTTGGAAATCTGGACATTTCAYATAAAAATCTTGGAATTTCTGGTTTCTCTTGAAAAACTGGGAGGACGGGGCCACCCTGAGCTTGCAGTCCCGCTTGGCAGCAGCCACTGAGCCATGAGGAGGAGCTGCCTGTCTTGGGTGGGACACCTGGAGTCCTGCTTGCTGTCAGCTCCTTCCAGCTGTGTCTCCGGTTTGCCTTGAACTTGGTGTGCTCCCACCAAGCCTGAATGGACTGGGAGGGGATGCGGCTGGCACCCCAGGGGCTGGAGGTGGTGTCGGCCCAGCTGCAGGGGCCCAAGGCCCACTCTCACTCRTGCAAACCAAGCAAGCAGCAGTACTTGGCCTCCATGGACACCCTGGGGCCGAGCACCTGGGCCAGCTGGACCATTGCCAGAGAGTCAGAGTCAAGCAGGACTTAGGAGCAAGATGATAAGTGTTCACAAAATCTGCCCCCCCCCACTACCACATGAAAACAGAACTCATAAAACCCCAAACAGGGAGATCTCCTGGGACAGGAATGGGAGAGAAAACTACACATGGCAGGCTGGGGCCGGGGCTCAGCGGTAGCGCACTCCCCTGGCACGTGTGAGGCACTGGGTTCAATTCTCAGCACCACATAAAAATAAATAAATTAAAGGTCGGTCTATCTATCTATCTATCTATCTATCAATCTATCTATCTATCTGGCAAGTGTGTGCAGCCAGCAGCCCTCAGATCATGGTGAGCAGCAGGGACTAGCTGTTCATGTCCAAGGCGACAGAATTTTCCTTGCTGTGGGAGGAGGGTACTAGGTAAGAGGATGGCCTTATTCCTAGCAGGGGCTGACATTTCTCTCTGATGGCCAGATATGTGACTTTCCTGGAGCCACTTGCCTGGAGCCCAGGGAAGAAAGGGAAGGCTCCTGGGTAGAAAGGGAAACAGTGTTGTGCTGGGTATGCGCTTCCCAAACTGTCCCCTGTGTGCTCCCCTGTTGCTCCCCTGTGTCGTCTTTATGAGGGGGCATTCTGAGCAAACCGATGGTAGGAAAAAACGACCCTAGGGTCTTAGTTAATCTCCTTAAGGGGCTAAGTAGCAGGACTTAGCCGTCTATTCATGAAGGGATCCTGAATACCCTAACTGGGGACACACTGCAGGTGCTCAGAGGACTCATGGGTGAGGAAGCTGCATGTCACAGAATCAGGGTGCAAGAGAGAAAGGGTCATTAGAAGGCCACTGTGGCTTCTTCCCTCCTCTCCCAGATGTGGGAACAGAGGCCGGAGGTTTGCTTAAGATCACGCAGCTGGGAGCACAGATGCAGGCCTGGGCAGAGYCTCGGGCTCCTCCTGCTTCACTTTGGAAGCCTGAGGTTTCCTTCTTTATAAAATGGAGAGTCACCTAGAGACTGTGTAGTACCGCCKCCTCCTCTTTCTGTCTGTGTTCTAAGGCATGGCTGTGACTGGTTCCTTGACAGTGAATTCCACCTGGAGGGTGGGGACAGCTGTAGGTGAGAGCATGCTTCTAGAGCCAGCCTGTCCAGCATGGGATCCCAGCTTCATCACTTACTGCCTGTGTGAATGGGCAGCCCATTTACTCTCTGTGCCTCTGTTCCCACAGCTGTGTGACAGGGCTAAAAGCTCACTGGACTAGAGCAAGGATTAGAGATAAAGCATTTTAAAGCCTCTAGAGAAATGTCTGCCACATTCAAAGCCCCCCAAATGTTTACTGCCATTATTATTATAGAGCCGATTGTGTTTCCCTTTGAACTCACCATTGAACTTGAACCTTATCTTTAGAGTCTACCTAGCATGTAACAGCATGCATTTCTGTCTGTTTCCCAATCTTGTTCTGGCTCATTTAACTCTTTGGCTCTCATTTTCACCATCCTCCTGGTTCTACATGCTACTGTATCTACACATGACTGTAAACTATTTCACAATAACTTTGGAGAAAACAAGTTAAGGAAAACATTGCCCTACACATTGATTTAGACTGGCCCAGGGTGTAGTCTAGAATGATACGGAATTAGAAGGTGAACTGTGCTATTAAAAAAATCACAGCTAATAATTTTGAAGGAGTATTGTGCTAGCCATTGTCATGCATGCCTTACCTTAAACGTAACAATGATCCTGTGCAGCAAGGTCTATTATTTTTTATTTTGCAGTTTAGGAACTGAGGCTCAGAGAAGTAAAGTGACCAAGGCAGAGGTTGCCAGCTGCACACAGCATAGTCGGGATTCCTGATTCCAGAGCACACCCTGTTACACCATGTTSCCTTAAGCTCTTGGGGGACAAAGAGGAATAGATTCTGTCAGCTGATTGGTGCTCTTTGTTCTTGTCCCTCATCCTCCCTTCCCATTTCCTCTCCTTTCTCGCAGAGCCCATGCGGGCACCCAAAGGCCTGGCTTTCGCTGAGATCTTGGCTCGCCAGCTGACCCTGCAGTGGGAACCACTGGGCTACAATGTGACACGATGCCACACCTACACGGTGTCCCTGTGCTATTACTACACCCTGGGCAGCAGCCACAACCAGACCGTCCGCGAGTGTGTCAAGATGGAGCGGGGCGTCAACCGCTACACCATCAAGAACCTGCTGCCCTACCGGGACGTCCACGTGCGCCTGGTCCTCAGTAACCCCGAGGGGCGCAAGGAGGGCAAGGAGGTCACCTTTCAGACTGATGAGGATGGTAAGGGCGCCCGGGCCCCCGAGTTCCTCCCCCAAATCCTACATCTGAGACTCAAGTTTATTATACAGAATTTTTTGCTTAGGATGAAACAGCTGTATTCCACAAAGCAATGAGAGCTAATAGTTRTTCTCTGGAGGACCGTGGGTTAGAGTGGTATAATCTCATTCTTAAGCATTTGGAAGAGTTTAGTAGGGAAGGGATTTGGGACTAGAGTTTTCTTTGTGGCAAGGCTTTAAATAATAGTTTTAATTTGAAAATAGATACTGGAATATTCAAATTTTCTTTGTATACTGTGATTTTTCAAGAACTTTGCTCCTTTCACCTAAATTGTGACATGTCTTGACATAAAACATTTGTTTATAAATTCTCCTTTATTTAATACCTATATACTCTGTAATCTGTAATGATAGCCCCTTTTTCTTTTCTGATACAGATAATTTGTATTTTCTGTCTTTTTTTTCTTATTTACTCTTGCTTGGGATTTATAAATTTTGTTAATTTTTTCAAAGAGCCAACTTTGGCTTAGTTGATTTTTTTCCCCCCCATGGAATTGAACCCAGGGATGCTCTACCTCTGAGCTACATACCCTGCCCTTTTAAAATGTTTTATTTTGAGGCAGAGTCTTGCTAAGTTGCTGAGGTTGGCCTTGAACTTGTGATCCTCCTGCCTTGGCCTTTGGAGTAGCTGGGATTGTACTCATGCACCTCTGGGCTTGGCAATATTTCATTTTGTATTCTTTCTTTTTTTAAAAAATATTTTATTTGGATTTGATTTGCTGTTGTTTTTTAGCTTTTGGGGCTGGAAGATGTCTTAGATCAATAGTTTTGAGCCTCCATTTCTAACATGCACTTAAAGCCAYACGTTTCCTTTTAATCCCTTCTTTATGTGCATCCCATGAGGTTTTTTTTGTTTGTTTTTAGTTGTAAATGGACACAATACCTTTATTTATTTTTATGGGGTGCTGAGGATTGAACCCAGTGCCTCACACATGCTAGGCAAGCGCTCTACACTAAGCCACAACTCCAACCCCAGGTCTTTTTTTTTTTGGTAATGCTGGGAACCAAGGCCTCTCAGATGCTAAGCAAATCTCCGAGTTATATCCCCAGCTTTCATTAGTTTTGATATGTCTCATCTTCATTATCATTCAGTTCAAAATATTTTCTAATTTTTTATGATTTCTTCTCTGACTCAAGAGTTATTTAGAATTATGTTGCTTAATTTTTAAGCAATTAGGACTTCTAATTATCTTTTTGTTATTGATTTCCAGCTTAATCCCACTGTGGTCAGAGTACATACTCTAAATTTAGCCTTTTGAAATTTGATTCTTACTTTATGGTCCCAGCATGTGGTTGAATTTTGGTAAATGACCCATGTGTGCCTGAAAAAAAAAATTGCTTTCCATCATTTTTGGGGACAGTGTGCTAAATCTGCCAGACTCRTCTTTACTGAGCACTTACTGTACATCAGACACTAGGCTGAATGTTTTTCATCTATTAATGGCTATATAATCGCCGTGACAACCTATGTGATAGGCTACTGTCTTCACTTTACAGATGAGGTCACATAGCTAGTTGGTAGGCAGCAGAGCTGGTTTCAAACCTGGCCATCTGGTTTCCAAGTTGTCATTATCTATTTATTTATTTTAAATGCTGGGGATCAAATCCAGGGTCTTGCTCAKGCTAAGTGTGCACTGAGCCCCACCCCCACCCCTGAGAGTTGTCCTTCTCAACCCCTGCAGTTTCATACCAGGACAGGTTCAAAGCCTTCCCTTTAGATTCCTGCAAACCCCAGGTGCCCCTAAGCTCCCTGGTGGAGGATTTTCTTGCTGCCCTACACTGTGCAGTTTTCTSTTCTGCACAGCACTGGCCCAGACACAAAGGCAGCCCCTTTTTTGCTTTCTACAAAACTCCATCACCCAAGGCAGTGTGTGTGCCCCGTGCTGAGCATCTTCCAGTGGTAATGAGGACCGGCTGTGATGATTCTGAGACGTTGCAAGCAACCTCAGGCTGAACGTCAGACCACCCCCTTTTCAAAGTCTGTTGACCTCTGCATCCCCCACTTCCGGGTTTGTTATGGCTGCCTCACCCTCAATGGTCTCACTTGGGCCACTTGATCTTCTTTTTTCTCTTCTCCCCCCTCCTATAATGGTTGTTGTTGTTGTTGTTGTTATTATTATTATTATTATTATTATTTTTTTTTTTTACTTTTCCTCAAAGTATTAATAAAATATTTACAGAAATTGTATCTTGGGGAGGTCCTGAGGATTGAACCCAGGGAGTTTCATGGGGCCTCACTAAGTTGCTAAGCCTGACCTTGAATTTGTGATCTTCCTACCTCAGTCTCCTGAGCCTCTGGGATGACGGGTGTGCACCACGGTGCCCAGTTTATAGAAAGCATCTTAAATGGTCAGCCAATGAATTGTCACTTGAAGAAACCCATGCCCAGACCAGGAAATGACATTGCCAATGCCCCAGGAAGCTCCTTTTTTTGCTTTCTCCTGGTCACTACCTCCCAAGGGTAACCATTATGCCTACCTGTAACAACAGATTGATTTTCTTGGTTGGGACTTTATCGAATGGAAGCAGAGAGCATTCTTTATCTACCCAACTTCTCTCTCTCAACTTCATGCTTGAGAGACTCAGCCACATCGTACGTGCCGTCCTGGGGAGTTCAGTTCTCACTGCTGAATAGCTCATTATGGGGATAAATATACTGAATTAAAAAAAAAAAAATCCTGTTTACTGTTGTTGAATGTTTGGGTTGCTTCCGATTTTTGTCTATTTTGAAGAATGCTTATAGTTTGAAAATATTTTCTCTTGGTGGATATACACATTTCTGATGGGTTTACTCCTCGGAGTGGAACAGCTAGGTAACGGGACATATGTTTCTCTTTAGTAGATCTTGCCAGACGGTTTCAAAAAGTGGTGGGCCCAGCGCACACTCTGCTGGCAGGTGTGAACATTTTGGTTGCTTTGTGTCCTCATCAACACGAGAAATCGTCTTTTTTTCATTTTGCCATCTTGATGGACAGACAGTGGTCTCCTGAGCTATTTGTTTCCCCACAGAACAGCTTAGATTACGTTGACTGTCACCTCTGCTTCCGCCTTCTCTGCCTGAGGACTTGAGCTTCCCCACAATGCTCTGTCAAGGTGTTTTTCCAACCTGAGGCTGTCTTCTTCCCGAGTGAAACCCCTCTGCTTGCTGTTAGGAGTACACATTAAAACAGAAACCCAAACAGAATCAGACCATGCCTGGAAGTGTTTATGCTCAGCTCTTAACAGTATTTATGCTTGGGTGATGCAATTGTAGGTGTTGTTAATTTTCTTTATGTTCAGTTAGACTTTTTTTTTTTTTTTCATCGAACATATTGTGAATGTAATTAGACAGTTTTAGATGAGAAAACACTTCCAACCCGTACTCCTGATACCCGAGTGCAATTGTTGTTTTCATTTTTCTGGCAAATATCTATATTTTCTGACAACTTCCCAGCTGGAGCCAAATAGGAGCCGTCACACATTCCTCTGGGGGCACCGTGACCCTGCACAGCAGTGAAAATACCAGCTGCCCCTTTGGAGAGCTCGGGAATGAGTCAAGTCACAGGAGGTTGATATTCCCCTTCAGGGTTTATGTACATCATGTTATCTAGGCCTGGTTAGGGAGGGGGTTTCGTCATCCCCACTTCATGGATGAGGAAACCAAGGCTTCACGAGGGGAAGAGGAGTTCAAGTGGACGAGCAGGGGAGTGGTGAGGTTGGAATGTGCATCCAAGTATTTGGAGCCCAGACCCACTTTCCTCTGCCTTTTCCCCCTCACAGTGCCTGGTGGGATTGCGGCTGAATCCTTGACCTTCACGCCACTGGAGGACATGATCTTCCTCAAGTGGGAGGAGCCCCAGGAACCCAATGGCCTCATCACTCAGTATGAGGTGAATGGAGGCCCCGTGGTCAGGGGCTGTGCCCTGTGGGTTCCTTGTTAGGGGGGTCTGGGGACATGAATGAGAGGCAAGGTACCCAGGAACCTGGCCTGAGGGGAACCCCCAGTCCCCCTAGCCCAGCTGGCTCCTCGGGAGCTTGGTAGGTGGGAGTTGGCAACATGGGTCCCTGTCCCATGCTGGCCTGCCTGCCTGCCTGCCCTGCCCCCAGATCAGCTACCAGAGCATCGAGTCCTCAGACCCTGCAGTGAACGTGCCAGGCCCCCGGCGTACCATCTCCAAGCTCCGCAATGAGACCTACCACGTCTTCTCGAACCTGCACCCAGGCACCACCTACCTGTTCTCCGTGAGGGCTCGCACGGGCAAAGGCTTTGGCCAGGCAGCGCTCACTGAGATCACCACCAACATCTCGGGTGAGCCCTGCAGCCCAGCCTGGCCCGAGGAGGTAGCCCAGAATGCCAGCCTTCTGTGAGCAGAGGTGGGATGGGGTGGCCTGAGGGTGCTTCCAGAGGACTCCTGCTGAGATAAATGTGCCTTCCGGGGTTGAAGTCAGGGGTCAGGGAGGTCTAAACCCGAAGAGGCAGGAGACCCCTGGTGGATTCAGAGGTTGAGATGGGGTTAGTGCTCAGGGTCAGGGGCCAATGAAGCCAAGGAGATCAAGACATCAGGGGAAGAGCTCTGAGGGCAGGGGTCAGGGGGCTGAGGGGCTGGCCTTTCTGATCCAGTGGCCAGGTGACACTCCATACTTGCGTCCCTGTCCCCCTCTCCAGCTCCCAGCTTTGACTATGCTGACATGCCGGCACCCCTGGGCGAGTCGGAGAACACCATCACCGTGCTCCTGAGGCCTGCACAGGGCCGTGGCGCGCCTATCAGGTGGGACAGCCCTCGAGGAACGGCGGGAGATCAGGGCCACAGGGAAGAGCCCCTTGCTCCGACCCACAGCCCCCACTCAGGCCTCAGTCTTCCAACTTGGCCTCAAAGTGGAGGAGGATGTTCTGTGCTCCAGGCAGGTGGAACATCAGTGCTCTCTCCCCTGAGTCATGGGTCTCTGAGGGTAACTGTCAGGAGTTCTCTGGACACTGTCCAGCTTGCAGAGGGACCTGCCCAGGCCTCTGCAGGGGGCTTCTTCAGATACCCTGGMGAGGTGAAACCACAGGCCTCGTGTAGTCTAGCTTCGTTCCTGGAGATACAGGAGTGGGCTCTCTAGAAGACAAGTGCAGCTGGCCACAGAGGGCTGCCTCTCTGGGGTGGCTGCGTGCTCAGCTTCTTTGCGTCTTTCTCCGCAGAAGAAGCTGGGCTGCTGAGGCCATGGTGGGGGAAGGTTCTGGAGTGGAGATGGGGTATGTGAGAGTAGGGCGAGCCTGGGTGTGTGCGCGTGTGATGTGTGGTGTGGCGGTGAGTGTGCATGAGGGTTTTCAGGCACGCGTGTGCACGTACTCCTATCAGCCAGACACTGTGCGAGGGACTTTAYATGCACTAAGTCACTTTGTCCTCTTGCAACTCTGGAGTGTGTTTTACCTGCCCCCAAGGCTGCATGGCCATACGGGCTAGGATTTGGACTGTGGGTCTGTCTGCAAATCTTGTCTCTTATGGATATCCCCCTCCTCCTCATCTTCCCCTCTGGTGGACCCTTTTCCTCCTCAAAGGTGCATGCACTGGGAGAGGGTGACAACCTTCAGTGGTGGGGGTGTGAGTGTCCTCGTCGCCTCCAGCGAGGGAGTGGGCTGCCCAGGTGACCCAGGAAGTCCCTTGCCTCTTTCCTGCTTCTTCCTCCTGTCCTCCTCACCTGCTCTGCTGCAAATCCTGTCCTGGGAAGATTCTGAGACCCTCAGGAGAGGCTCAGGAAGAACTCAGGGTATCTGCAGGGCATTTTGCTTTTAGCTGGGGCCTTGGGACCCTTGTGCAGCCGAATGAGGAAGGAGCTGGAACATGCTTCTCCTTTTCTTGTCCCCTTGTGGGATTCTGTAAGCTGAACTGGTTGGAGTCCTGCAGGGACCGTGACAAGGCTGCATGGGGCCTTTGGAGGTGGGACTTTGTAGGAGGAGGGAGGCAGGATGCTGAACGACCCTGGGCCTGTCCTCTTACCTCCCTGAGCCTCTCTTATTGCACCATGGGGGGCCACTGCCAGTTAGGATTTTCTTTGTATGACTAGTGATAATTGTTATCATTCCTGGTGGGACTTGGGACTGGGAGAGGCCTGACCTCAGTTTGGGGAAGCAGAGGCTGAGAGGGGCTTGGACTGGTGTTTGTAATGGGTTAGTGACAGGCAGTGGGCTGGTGACCAATACTCTGGGATGATTCCTGCAACTTAAAAGCTCAAAAGTAACAACTGGAGATCCAGGAAAAGGCTTTTCTGCTTTCCAGAGCAGAGGCTGTGAGTAGGGGATGTCACACGGTGAGACATGACTGAGGCTGTCATGGGAAGTATTTAAATTTGTCAGCATTCATGTATTTACTCTCCACAGAGGATTTGGAGGAGCTCACAGCAAAAGCCTATTCAGTAAAGAGATAAAACACAAGCTCAGACATCGGAGCAGGGAGCACTAGTCAGGGCCAGTGTGCAGGAACCGGGAACAGCCGGCTCTGGTTTGCAGAGGGGCTGCCTCAGGGTGGAGGGTATGTGAGAGGGCATACAGGGGTGTCCTSGTTTGCCTAGTGACCTTCACTTCCCAGAGGAGGTCAGCTCCAGGAAGCCCAGATCCTCTGTACCCAGCATAGGGCCCCTAGTTTGAATGCAATAAAAACTTTCTGAATGAATGAATGAAATTGTTCTAACCCTGTTCATAATTGGCTGAGGCCCAGAAAGGAGCCATTGGTAGTTTTGGTTTCCCAGGTCCCATGTCCCACATAGGAGGACTCACTACGGCAGGGTAGGCCCTAGGCTTGGTTCAGTTGAGCAGGACCACGATTCTCTCAGTCCTGCTTACTAGTAGGAATGACAGCTGGCATGCACGGGCTGCTTCTGACATGTGTCTGCTCTTTGTGTCCATATCCTGGACTACTCCCATTTTACAGAGGAGGAAACTGAGGCCCAGGGAGGTTAAGTGACTGGCCCAGCTAGGAAGGAGCAGAGTTAAGATTAGTCCTCAGGTAGGCCTGACCCCAAAGCTCACACACTCAGCCACCAGACAGCTCTCCTGGTCCTCTGGCCTGCTGCGATCACTTGCGCTGTCCCCTCCCTGTCCAGTGTGTACCAGGTAATTGTGGAGGAGGATCGGCCGCGGCGGCTGCGGCGGGAGCCAGGTGGCCAGGACTGCTTCCCAGTGCCTCTGACCTTCGAGGCAGCGCTGGCTCGTGGCCTAATGCACTACTTTGGGGCCGAACTGGCGGCCAGCAGTCTGCCTGAGGCCATGCCCTTCACCGTGGGTGACAACCAGACCTACCGTGGTTTTTGGAATCCACCACTTGAGCCCAGGAAGGCCTACCTCATCTACTTCCAGGCAGCAAGCCACCTGAAAGGGGTGAGGGACTCATCAGGGCAGAGGTGAAGGAGGGTGGGGTGCTGGGTGGAAGGCTGGGGACACCCTGCAGTGGCCCTTCCACAGAGGTCTGAGACCCAGGCCCTGCCCCTTCCTATAGCCTGGCCTTCTTCCCTTGATTCCTTACCTTCTGGCCTCGTCCTTGTCCCTTCCTGAGGCCCTTCCTTCTGCCTCAGGTGCCTCTGTTACCCAGAGATCATCATCTTAGGTTCCCCCTTTCACGTATTGAGGTCTAGGTCTGGTCTCCTCACCAGGCCCCGCCTTCTCTCTGAGACCCCGCCCTATTCTCCAGGCTCCTCCCTCCTCAGATTATTCCTTCCTTGATGGCTCCTTTCCTGCCAGGCCTGTGGACATGGGCCCACCCCCATTCTGGAGGCCCCACCCCCATTCCTCAGGCCCCACCCCTTCCCATGCTGTCTCAGCTGATTTTCTTAAGGCACTGCCCTGTTTGCAGGCCCCTCCCTCTGGGCCACGCCTCCCATCCTGCTGGGCAAGAGTATCCTTAGTTTTCATACTAGAGGGCACCCTGATTAGGCCCAAGACACCGTGAGGTTCCTGTCCTGGGAGGGTGAGACCTGTTTTCTGTGGTGTTGAGGTCCTTCCCCACCTGTGCTTCCAGGAAACCCGGCTGAACTGCATCCGAATCGCCAGGAAAGGTGAGTCCCTCTGAGTTGTTGAGGCCTGCACTGGAGGGTTTCTTACCTGTGGCTTTGGGGAGGGGCTCCTGGCCACCCAGGGGCTGTGGGACCACAGTAGGGCAGCAACAGTGGTTCTGAGGTTAGGAAGGACTTCCTTTCTCAAGGGCTTCTTCAAGGGTGGGCAGCAGGCAGGGCCCAATTTCCTACCCCTCCCCAAGGTTGCAGAAGGGGCCCTGAAAGGGGCTTGGGACAGACCTGGGGAGAGGGAGCCGTTTTGCTGGGCACTGGTTCTGGGTTCTATATAAGCCTCTTATCCAGTGGGGAGGGGTAGGACRGTGGGGGACCTGCAGGGTAGAGGCTGAACCTCTTCTAGACATGGAATGTGGTTGGTTACCATCCTGAGATGCCCTAACCGCACCATAGGTACGTGGCTTTTTCCCCTTCATCACCTTGCAGGAGGCTGGGGGTGGGTCTGAAGGCCCAGGTGTTCTCCATCATCTGCTGAAAGTTGGGCAGGATTTGAGGAAGCGGAGAGGGGAGAGGGGCAGCTATTGCTGACAGGGGGCAGGATAGGTGAAGACTTGATGAATGTAGAAGGCCCCAGGAACGTCCAGGAGACAGATCTGAACTTGAGGCAGGAGGGGCTGTGGTGCTGTGGGTGTGGGTGTGTTTGTGCAGCCTGGTCTGTTCCCTGGGGCTCAGATCCCTGCAGGCAGGGCCTGGTGGTCCCTGCTCGCCTCTGACCCTTTGTCCTGCTTTGTTCTCAGCTGCCTGCAAGGAAAGCAAGCGGCCCCTGGAGGTGTCGCAGAGGTCGGAGGAGATGGGGCTCATCCTGGGCATCTGTGCAGGGGGACTTGCTGTCCTCATCCTCCTCCTGGGAGCCATCATTGTCATCATCCGCAAGGGGTGAGTGAGGCCAGCACCCTGGCCCACCAGTGGCTTGTGTCTCTCGAAGGCCTGGTTGATGCAGAGGAGCTGTGTCTGGGTGTGTGCGGGGAGAGGTCAGCCTGGGCATTGGGCCTGTAGATGGACTCAGGCTGGAKGGTAGGAAGCCTGACACTTGGTAAATGGAGCTGCCCCGGTACAGCATGGCTGGAGTGCAGGTCTGGATGGTGCCAGGTGCCACTATCCAGGGAAGGCCATTCAGTGCTTAGTGCCAAGGAGCTGTGTTGGAAGACAGCACTGCCTTCTTGTGCCTCTGGGAGCTGTGCCAATAGGAAGGGTATGGAGGTGACCTGACTTTGAAGCCTCAGCCCCCTGCAGACCGTTAGCCAACTCATCTGCCTTGACCATTTTGTTGTGAAATTGACCCYGAGCAGGGGTGTCATGTCCCCTCCCTTTCAAACCAGGGCTCTGAGCCGTGATTTTCCTCAGTACCCCACCTGCCCTGGTCCCTGCTGCTATGGATCCCTGAGTGAACCCCACGATCTCCCAGCCTTTCATTTGGGTAGGATGTGTTTCTTAGGGCATTTTGCAGAGGGCCGCCTGAGTCCTGCTACATCTTAAAATCTAGAACTTAGAATCTCAGAAATCTAGGATGGGGGATTCTAAGAATCTCAGAAGTTAGTGGCTTAGAACTCAGAACAAGAGCTGCTGGGTAATTTAAGGCCATCTAATCGAGTGGTTTTGAATTTTTTAAAAAGCAACAGTACCTGTCTTTAAAACATGCATGCACAACAACAAACAAACAACCCCCCCAAACAAACAAAACTCCCCAGCCCTCTGTGTGCTGGGAGCCCAGTACACAGAGCAGATGAAGGCTGAGTAGCAGCTCTGGTTGGAGGCAGGTGGGGACTCCTGAGACTCCTCTGCTTGCTAGCTCCACCCCGCCTCATTCCCCATGAGTGACCCTAGAACACGGGTCCAAGCACCTTAGTTGAAACAGGGATGCGGCGCCCCAGTGGGGGTGGTAGACTAGCCCAAGGTCACCCAAGGAACCAAAGGCAGAGCCTGCGTTCTCTCTCCCCACCTGGGCTCTGGCTTCTGAAGTCCCTGCTGCTGCCAGGCTGGGCACACATGGGCGAATTGGCACTGGATCTCTGGGCTGCCAGGAGCAGATAAGTAGGATCCTGGGAGATGGTGGAGAGCTGGCTAGGGCCACCTTGCCTGAGGCCAGGCACCAGCAGGAGGGAGCAGGGTATGCCAGCAGAATCGGGTGGAGTGGGGGGTAGCCTATCCAGGGCTGTAAGCTCTGATTTTTATCTTCCTAGTCTCTGCACAGCTTGATGAGACAATATATTTTAAATTTATTATTTAATGAGTAATTACTGTGTGCCAGGAGCTTTACACACACCATCCATTAGCTTGTCAATTATTGAGCACCTATTACGTGCCAGACACTGTTCTGGCATTCAGGGTACATCAGAGAACATTTCCTTCTTGGATCCTGATAAAGGAAGCAGGTCTCACTCCTTTTTTACTGATGAAGAAACCCTAATTAGAGCAATTTGCCCACGTCACTCTGCTCAGTGGCAAGGTTTGATTTGAGCTCAGGCCTGACCAGATATGTGAAGGGCCTCCTCCTGGGGACCCCACAAGCAGCAAGTCCCTGAAGTTCTCCCCAGCAGGGGGACTGAGACCCGACTCTAAGTGGGGCGGGGCTGCGGGTGGAAGAGGCCTGTCACAGGTGTTATTTGAGGTCCAAGAAACTACCCTCAAAGGAAAGAGGGTGGGGTATGTGGTGGTATCCAATGCTCCGTGCCCCCCGCAAATAGAGCATTTGGCTAGGAAGGGGCTGCTCAGAGGTGCTGTCAGACCTCACTAGGAGACCCACAATTCTGCAGTTGGTACCTGACACATCCCCATTTAGGACCCCCCCCCACGCCAGTTTCCTCTAAAAGCCACTCAATAACACACTGGAACTTTACCAAATCCCTGATTCTACTCTGGCCTTGGGCCACTGAGCTCCTCAGGACTCCCTCTGTTTATATTGTGGGGCGTTGTGTAGCAGAGCAGCTCTGGAGGTATGGGGTGTGCAGATCAGCTTGTGCTGTGAATGTGATTGACAGCAGAGGAGGTCACCCACCCCACTCCAAGGCCTGATGTGGCCTTGGGAGAGAGCACAGATTAGGTTCCCAGGTCAGAGTCCTGGGCCAGGTGGGGTCTGCTCTGACTCTGCCATGACTCCCGTGACTCAGCACCCGCTCTGTGCAGCGGGAACCCGCCCTGCTCTGGCTTCTCACTGGGGTGAGCTGCAGGACCTGGGGCTCCTGATCCAAGCTGGGCTTGGGGGCCAGGAGGGGGCGGCCTGGCTCCTTTAAGGGACCCCACCCCCAGGGCAGTCGGGTGGGAGAGGGTGGGCCCTGAGTGTGCCCTGTGCTCCTGAGAGATCCTCTTCCCCCTGCCCTCCTGTCCCCAGCTGTCCCTCCTGGCTGAGCTGTGTGCAGAGGGCTGCTCCCTCAGGGCCCTGGGGCCTGCAGGGGTGAGCCGGGAGCCGCCCTGRGTGAGTGAAGGTGCCTCTGAGTGTGAGTGTGTGTGAGCGACTGTGAGTGTGTCAGTGTGAGTGTCTGTGTGTGTCTGCATGTGTGCGTCTGACAGGAGTGCCTGTGAGTGTGTGCAGTGTGTGTGTCTCTTTGAGTGTATACACGTGTGTGATCTGAGTGTGCTTAAGTGTGCGTGTGCATGTGCGTGTGTTCTCCCTGTGTTTGCACGTTTGTATGTATGGCCATGAAGCTGTGCATCCCCCCCTTGGCCCACCTCCCCACTCCAGCAGCAGCTTGGGGAAGGTTCTGGAAAGGCCTCTGGTCCTGGTCCACAGCTGGGCCAGCCCTTGGAATAAGGAGGCCCTTGGACCTGTCCAGTCCCTGGCTGGCCCCTGCCCTGCACGGGAAGCCCCTGGGCCTCCCTGCCGCCTGGGCATCGCCCCAACCCGGCTGGTTGCCAGGGCTCAGACCTGGTGCCCTGTTCTCTTTGCACGCTGCCAGGAGAGACCGCTATGCCTACTCCTACTACCCGTAAGTAACGCACCTGGCCTGAGTCSCTCCAGGGCCTCCCCTCCTCACGGCCCCCTCTGCTGCCGTCTCCTATTGCATCTCCCTCCTCCAGTCACAGTCCCCACACGTTGGTTGTGTAGTCAGCTGGTCACCCCTGGGCAACTCACCTCACCTCTCTGAGCTTTGGTGTCATCTCCACGCTGAGCTGGGCTCTGACCTCCTCCTGGACATGCTGCTCACTTTGTCCTCAGCGTCACACTGAGCCTCTAGCTCGGGGGTCACAGGGCTGCTGGCAGGCGGTTCCCCCTCCCTGTGATGTGCACAGATRATCTTTGAACCTAAATGCAGAACTTCTGAAAGTGTCTGTTAAATTCCATCTCCTAATCTGAGACCAGCCAGAGGCCAACAGAGGGTTCGGGTCCCTCCAGGCTCTGTCTCCTGTGGGTCTGGGGGTTCGTTTCTGTGGCTCTTCTTTCCCATAGGCCGAGAGCCCTGGGCCGGGAACAGAGCCCTGTGGTGCTYCCCTGGAGACGCCTCCAGGCCTGTGTCCCCRTGTTGACAGATGCTCTTGGGGCCACTGTTCAGCAGCTTGGCCAGCTGCCTGCTGTCCGCCTGTGTCTGTCTTTCTGTGTTGGCTGCTGTCCGGCCWGTCCCTCCCTCTGCTGTCCCCTCTCCCCCTCTTGACTATTTTCCTTCATACCCACCCTCCCCCTCATCCTCAGACTCTTCCTCTTCAGGGTGATCGAGATCACAGCCACAGAGCCTTCTCACCTGTCCCCAAAGGGCTCTTTGGCACCAACCCTGGGTCCCAGTGGGGTGATGCCCAGAGCCTGGTGGGTGGGGAGGTGGGTCATCTTGTCCGCCTCTGCCCCAGGCAGCTCTTGAGTCCAGGACACGCTGGCTGGAGGTTGCTTGCCCAGAAGGCATTCATTGTCCTCCTTGTCCCCATTGACGGTCAGTGTCTCTGAGCACTTATGACTTGAAAGTCCTTACTCAGGTCTGCGTCACATCCTGCATGCTGTAGCCAAGCTGGCGGGCAGAACTCTCCCCTCCAGCCTTCCCTGTGGCTGGGCCCCGTGGGCTCTTCTCAGCTTCCAAAGGTCCTAAATTGTTTCCTCATTGCCAGTTTCTTTGTCCTCCTCCATGGAGCTGTGTCCCCTGTCCCCTTGTCCCCCCCACCTCTGTCTCCCACTTTGCTCCAAGTCCCTCTAGTCACAGACTGTGGTCCCTACCCATGAACCTGGGGCTGAGGGAGGGGCTGCTCCCACTTCTTCCCTCTGCCGCCGTCAGTAGTGGGATGGACTGGTGGATGGGGGGTCTGGATCCCACCTGGTTGGGCCATGGTGAGGCTGTCCCAGGGGCTTCTGGGAGTAAGAAGAGCAAGTTGGAGTTTGCTGGTGCAGGGAGACTCCTGAGCTCCTGCTGAGCCACGCCTTGTCCTTCAGGAAGGCACTCCCAGCCCAACCTCCATGCCCTCAGGAGAGCATGGCCTCTGGGGCTGGACCTGGCCAGCCTTCCTCCTGGCCAGACATGGATGCCATGTCTTTTGCTACTACACCACGTTAGATGCAGAGGAAGCTTCAGATCCATTTCCTGAGAGAGTGAACAGAGTTAGGAACAGGGGGCAGCAGCTCTTTGGGTCTAGAAAGTGAAAGATGGAGGCAGAGCCCCCTGTGCATCCAGAGATGTGCCTAGGATGGTGCCCCATTCCTGACCTTGTCTCCCTGACTGCTGGGCCTCCACTCCCTGCTCTGGGGCTGTCCAGCCCCRTAGAGTGCCTGTCGTCAACCCCCATCTGCAGGAAGCCAGTGAACATGACCAAGGCCACCGTCAACTACCGCCAGGAGAAGACGCACATGATGAGCGCCGTGGACCGGAGCTTCACGGACCAGAGCACCCTGCAGGAGGATGAGCGGCTGGGCCTGTCCTTCATGGACGCCCCTGGCTACAGCCCCCGGGGTGAGTGTCCRGCCCTTGAGCCCCTCCCCAGGCTGTGGGACTCCCCACCTGAGCCAACAGAATGGTGTCCACCCCACTTCAGATGAGTTGTGAAACTCTCCTAACCACGCCTCGCTTTGATTCCTGCACTGGCCAGGGGACTCCCAGAAGGCCCTGGGGGTGAGTTTGCATGGTGGACTGGAGGCACTTGCAAGGAGCTTGCTGGCACAATAAGGTCCACTGTGACGGACCTTGTCAAGAGGAGATGCTGCTCTGATCAGAGGGGACCAGAGGGGCTTCACCCTCTGTTGAGTCTTGTTGTGTGACAGGAGGGGATCCAGTGGCTGAGAGGGATCCACCCAGACCTGGGCTGGTCTCTTAGATCCCTTTTTTGGTTGTATGACCCGGGGCAAGTTGCTTACCTCGCTGCACCCATGTTTTCTCCTATGTGAAATGCAAATAGGGATCGTCTCTGCTGGTGAACAGTTCCCTTCAGGGCAGATGTGAAAACTAAATGAGTCAAKGTGTGTAAACCATTTAGTGCTGGGCCTGGCTTCAGAGTACAGTGAATTAACTGTTCTGTGCTTCATTTTTTGTTTTCTGTTTAGCATTGATTCGTATAAAAGAAAATATATAATGCTTTGAAAGTCACAAAATCATCATCATACAACAAATACCAGTGAACCCTGCAGGTGACTTAGAACAGGAGTCAGGGATCCCTCCCCAGCTGCCTCACTCTTAGACATACCTGATGGCCCTGAAATTTGCATTTATAATTTTCTTGCCTTTTGTGAGTGGTTTTACCTAGGTGTGTGCATGCGTCACCCCGAAATGCATTGTGGATTGTCAGTCATTTTCAAGCTCATAAAAGTGAAGTCTCTCTTTCAGCCTAGCATCATGTTTCTCAGATGTGTACCTTTTATTTTATTCCGATGGATACTTTTTCCATTATACGGCTGTGTCACAGTTGGGTTCTCCATTCTTCCATCCTTGGCTCTCGTTTTCTTGTTATCACAAACGAGGCTGCAGAGGATGTTGTTAGGTGAACCTTGAGGAGCTCTGCATATGTGGTTCTAGAAGCAGAACTGCTGGATTGTGGAGTCCGTGCTTGTCCAACTTAATGATGGTACTGAGTTGTTTTCCAAAGTTGTTTTTGCCTGTTTCCACTCCTGAGAGCAGCATCGAAGACTTTGTGGCTCCAGGGCGGGACCAAAATTGCCAGCCTTCTTCAATTTCCTAGAAACTGGTTTGTATAAAACGGTAATTCTCTGTCATCCTAATTTGCATTTCTCTGATTACTAATGAGGTTGAACATATTTTGAAGTCATCATCGGCCATTCAGGTCTCTTTCGTGAAATGCCTGTTCATATCTTTTACCGAATTTTCTGTTGGTTTTTGTTTGTTGCTTTCTTAGTGGTTTTTAGCAGTTCTTTACATATTTAGGATAATAATCATTTGTCACATATGAATTGCAAATATCTTCTCCCAATTTGTTTCTTATCTTTCTGGGTTATTTATAGTGTCTTTGGATGAACAGAGAGTTTTTATTTTAATGTAGTCAAATTCKTCAGCCTTTCTCTTTGTGATTTTTACTTTTTGTTGTTTTCTTAAATAATTTCTTTCCCTAGCCAATGTCATGAAATTGTTTTTTTTTTTTAAACTTTTTTCCTCAAAGTTTTAATGTTTTGCATTTCACATTTAAATCTTTATCCATCTGGAATTGATTTGTGTGTGTGGGATGAATTAAGGATTTTTTTTCCTCCAAAGGGAATAATTGGCTGTCCTGACATCATTGCTTGCTTTCTTTTTCCTTTGAGATCCTTTGGGTCTTGCTCCGTTGCCCAGGCCAGTCTTGAACTTGGGCACTCCTCCGTTTCCTGAGTAGCTGGGTCTACAGGAGCATGCCACCACGCCCGGCCCTGTGTCAGTTCCTACAGTTCCTACTTTCACTGCTGATTGACAGTGCCACCCTCCTTGTATATCACATTTCTGTGTGTTCGGGGAGTGGTTTTGAGCTCTCTCCTCTTTGGGCAATTTGGTGATCCCTGTGCCAAAACCACACGGACTAGCTAAGTCTTGTTTTTTTTTTTTAGTGACAGGGAGAGAGAGGGAGGATTTTTATTATTTTTTAGTTTTCGGTGGACACAACATCTTTATTTTATTTTTATGTGGTGCCGAGGATCGAACCCAGTGCCCCGAGCATGCCAGGCGAGCGCGCTACCGCTTGAGCCACATCCCCAGCCCCGCAGCTAAGTCGTAATATCTGAGACGTCAAGCTTTCTCCACCTTGTTCTTCCTCAAGGATGTCTTTGCTATTTTTGTCCTCATTCTCTTCCTCATAAAATTTAGAATTTTTTTCTCTCATTGCTTGGAGAACTTGGTTGAATGGATTTGTGTTGAATCTACAAATCATCTTAGGGAGAAATGATGTAAAATTGTTTTTCCATCCGTGAACATGACATATATCACCTCATTGACTTAGGTCTTGAATGTCTTTCAGTAGTTTTCTCTGAAGTCCTGTATGTCTTTTGTTAGAGATGTTCCTAGGTCCCTTGTTATTTATTTTTTGGTGATGGGGATTGAACCTGTGACACAGTACACACTAAGCACGTACTCTGCCATGGAGCTACATACATCCCCAGCCCCAGGCCCCTTAGATTTGATTTCAGTTGCAATTGGTACACTATTAAATGTGTGTGTCTTCTGTACAGAAATGCAGCTGATTTTTGTATGTATATTATATTATTTTTGTATGTATATTATATTCAAACTCCCTAGTAAACTTTCTTATAATCAATTCTAATTTTTCCGTAGAATCTTTCAGATTTCCTGAGTACGAAGTCTCTACCAATACCAGCAGCTCCATTTCTCCTTTCCTATGTCTTACCCTCTTTTCCCTGTGGTTTGGTGGACAACACTTGGAGCACTATGCTGAGAAGAAGTGATGATAGCGATTAGCTAGAGTCTTTGTCTTATGTTATTTACTTGTTTTTGGTACCAGGGATTGAAGCCAGGGGCGCTGAGCCACATCCCCAGACCTTTTTATTTTTTATTATTTAGAGCTAAGTTGCTGAGGCTGGCTTTGAACTTGTGATCCTCCTGCCTCAGCCTATTATAGGCGAGCGYGCCCCCACCCTCCATCCCGGCTTCTTTGTCTTATTTTAAAGGCAGGCTTCTGACATTTGAACCACTGAGAATGAAGTTTTTGCTCTAGGCTTTTACTAGAAATGTTTTATCAGGTTAAAGCTCACTTTGGTTTTTTTGTTTGCTAAGAGGTTTTATTCTAAATGGACATTAAACTTACCAAAAGTTTTCTCCTGCAGGTACTGGGATATTTTTTTCCTTTCATCTGTTAATGAAGTGACAGTTTTAGATTTTCCTAATGTTAAAATTACCTTAATTTCCTCCGATGAATTCAACTCGATCTGGAGGTAGTATAATTTTTTCAGATTGTTGGATTGCATCTTTCAACATTTTAAAGCTGTCTTCCTTGGTAGGGTTGGCCTATAATTTTCCTATTTTTACTTTCCCTGTCTGATTTCCGGCATCAGGATTCTGACCTCCAGCACTATGCTGAATAGAAGTGATGATAGCAGGAGTCTTTGTCGTATTTTAAGGATTTAAAATTTAAAGATTTTTGRTACCAGAAATGTATTGGGGTCTCTTCTCTTTTTCCTTTATCATGGAATAATTTTCTCCTTGAAAATTTGGTAGAATTCACTTGTTTAAAAAAAAATCTTGGGGCTAGGGTTGTGGCTCAGCGGGTAGAGCGCTCGCCTAGTWTGTGTAAGGCCCTGGGTTCAATCCTCAGCACCACATAAAAATAAATAAATGAAGTAAAAGTATTGTGTCCAACTACAACTAAAAAATAAATAGTTAAAAAAATCTCTTTTTTTGGTTATTTTCTGTAAGGAAAGATTTTAAAATTCTAATCCAATTTATTTTAAAAGAGTAAATAACTATTTAGATTTTTTATTTTTTTAAAGTCACTTGATATGTTGTCTTTGACAGGGAATTTGTCCATTTCATTTAAGTTTTCAAATTCRTGGACGCACATTCATTAACCATGTCCTCTTTGTAGTCAGCGTCTTGAAATTCTCCCAGCGTTACCCTGATCTCTAGCTATTACCAACCCTGCATCTTACAAATGAGGGAACATGCTCTGAGAGGGGAAGTCACTTGATTTGGTCACACAGCGGGAAAGTGGCAGAGCCAGGAGGATTTCAGTGCAAATCTTTCTGAATTGCAAACTCTCATTTCTGCCACATCTTGCGGAGCCTTGGGGAATGGGTAGGATTTAGACCGACAGAGGGGGAGGACAGGGCAGGAGTGCTACATGATGAGGGGCTGGTGATGAGACCAGGGAGAGGCTTGGTGGGGACTGGGAAGTTGGGTGGTGTGGACACAGGTCTTGCTCCTTAGTCCTGCTGAGAGATCACAGGGGTGGGAAACTCTGTTCCCCAGGGAAATGACTAGTTGGAAGTCAAGAGTGACCCCAGGAGGCCAGGACCGGGTTGGTTGTCTTAAGGAGGGTGGGGACCGTTGAAGCTGTCAGGAGTTTTGAGAAGACACAGCGTGGGCTGGTGAGCATTTTGGCTGTGATGGATTTGATAGATGAGGGCTGGGAGGCACTCAGGTCAGGATGCGGCGTGCAGGCCAGGGGTGACGGCTGGGAACTGGTGTGGCCAGGAGAGTTCCTTTTCTCTCTTTATCTACTTTCTGCCGGCTGGCCCAGCTTCCCCTTTCTTCTTTTCTTTCCCAAGTAGTAGAAGCCAGATATTTATGGCTCAGATTAGAAAACCATGTGGATTTCGACACCCTCCTATGCAGATGTTTAAACGGAAGACTTGGCAACCCTGGGAAAGAGGTAGCAGGCTGGCACGAAGAAGCCAGGTGGGCACGGGCCCCCATTGTGTCTGAAATCTGTCCTGTGAAAACCCACAAACCCTTCTGGGCCGTGCCCATCTGGAGCTGTGGACCCCAGTGGGTGCCAGGGGTTCTTGCCAACTGCTTTGCTACACAAGCGCCAGTTTCTTTCATCTGCACAAACAGCCCTTATCAGGGAGAGGGAAACAGAAAAGGCAGGACAGAGTGGGTGACAGGGCCACCGAGGCAGATGGGCCTGGTTCCAAATGCAAGCGCTGCCACTAGGTGAGCAGGTAGCATAACCCTGTTGGGCCTCAGTTTCCTCATTTGCACAAGGGCGATGAAGACAGTGCCTCCGTCCTGGGTGGATCCTAGGGGATCAACGGTGTGTGAGAAATGATGAGCTGTGATTACAGGCTGTTTCCTTGGTTATTTACTAATTGCGAACAGTGGAGGAAAATCTCTGGATGCTGTCAGATTGTGTAACGGGGGACCTCCTTCATCTGAGGGGGGTGGAATTAGGGAAAGGGCCCATCTCCCAGGAAGGTCTGAGGATCCTCTTTTCTGGATCAGGAAAAGAGAGGTCAAGGGACTTGAGTCAGAATTAGAATCTCGGTCTCTGGCCTCCCAACCCAGCCCTCCCCATTGCATGTACAGAGGTTATGGTGGTTCATGGGGCGGGTTCTCATCCTCCTCCCTCACTTCCTCCCTCTCAGGGGTGCCAGGTGGGGACCAGCCCATCCTTGAGGGATGGGGCGAAGGGTGGGGTCAGGAGTTTGCCTCAAATCCCACAGGAGAATTCCTGGGCTGGGAGAATGGAGGCCTGCTTCTCTAGGCCCAGGAAATGGAGGATCCTTCTGGAAACCTCGTGGTCCACGCTCCCTCCTTTGCTGGTGGTCTTATTTACAGAGTGTGGTGTGTCGTTCTTGGGCTCAGCTGTAAGCTGTGCGTGTTTGGCACTGGCTTCCCATCAGGATGTCAACCAGGTGGCATCTTTGGCTGGTCCTTATCTGTTGTTGTGAGCTGATGGTGGCCTGCTGGTGGGGCCCCTCAGGATCTCTGGCATGAGCTCCTTGATCCCTGCCACCCACGTTTGCTCCTTCTCACCTGGAGAGCTCTGTGGGGCCTCTGGCTGGGTTTCCATGGGGAGCACTGAGGCTGCTCTGTCTCGTGAATTCCCAGAGTCCTCGGAGCCAGCAGTAGTCTTTCTGGAAATCAGCACACTTGTCCTCTGTGTGTGTTGTGGCTGCTCCTTAGAATCCACTTTTCAGGCTGCTGCTGTTCAGGCCCTGGACCAAGTGACCTCATGTAGAGAAGGACCAAGTCAGCCAGCTGCTCTTGTTTGCTGGGACTTCGGGGCTCTTTCCCTTTCCTGGAAACGACCAGTAGTGCCAACTGCTGCCATGTGCAGTGCCCATCGCCAGCCAGGTGCCAGGCTGGGTGCCTGACGTGCGTCATCGTATTTAATATTTACATCATCATATATTGGGTAGTAGCATTTTTTTTTATCTTCATCTGAAACGTGAAAATGGAAGTTTAGAGAGATTAAGTAAGGGTCCCCACGGTCACAGGCAGAGCTGGGATTTGATCTGAGATCTGTCTGAATCCAGAGCCCTTCTCTCCATCTCCACATTACACTGTTTCCCTGAGGGTGTTTCATGGAACAAACAAAAAGCAGCCTGCGTGGTGAGAGATGGTTGTGAAACGCTGCTATTTCCATTCATCTCTCGGAGACTTAAAATGTGCACAAACGTGGAAAGCCTGAGAGGTCTTACAGGGAAACAAACCTATTTATTTTTGCTTACACAGAATTGCACAGACTGATTTAAAAATCAGAACCCTTCCTCACCCTCCTTCTCAACTTCTTTTTAATAGAATACCGCTTAATCATCTTGCCTCTGTAGTATTTTCTGGAATACATTTTGGCAACTATGACATGAGGCCAGTCTCTTCTCTTTGAACCTCAGTTTCCCAATCTATAAAATCAAGGGTCGGGGCATCTGGCCAGGATGGTGTAATGGGTACTTGACCTGCCCTCTAGCTGTAAGCAACCAGAAATTCAGATAAAGATATGAAACAATTGTTTCCAGACACTGGAACTTGAGGCAGCTCAGGACTGGTTCTTGAGAGGAGAGAGACAAATAAGGGGGGTCCCCTAAGGGGAGACCCCCGGTGGCATTGACTTTCTGCCTGGAGGCCATTTTTAAACCATGGCACAGGAAGGGGGATCAAGCAGAGGGGGCTGCCTCCCTTTCTTGAATGGGGCTTGGGGAAGTTAAGGTCATCAGGGGGTCTGACCTCGGGATCTTGCATTTACCCTGCCAGTTAGTGGTGGAGAGGCTCCCCCCGAGGAGGATCCTTTTGGCTGAGACCTGAGGATGAGTAAGTCACCAGCACAAAGAGTAGGGGAGGAGGGGAAGGGCGGAGGAGGGGTGGAGGAAGCAGAGGCTTTGGGGGCTGAAGGGGCCCCAGGTGCAAGGGCACAGGGAAGGGAGGCTCCGTCATCTAGGTCCCTCCAGGGTCCCTCCAGGCTCCTGCCAGCTCAGACCTGCAAAAGAGCTGTGAGAAGTGGAGGGCAGGATTGAGTGAGCCCTGGAGCCTCACCTGGGACAGGAGGGACAGGAGGGACAGGAGGGAGGTGAGCGCCCAGGGAGTGTGCCGAGGAGGGAGGTGGTGGTTGCAGATCCTGACCTCCTGAACCAGGGTGGGATGTCCTTGGAGATGCTGACCCAAAGAGCCAGGAGGAGGTGGCTGGGGGTGTGCCCACCCCCCCCCTGGAGCCTCTCACCCCTACCCCCCTGACTGGATGCCACACCCGCTGACAATGGAAACGCTTGCGCAGGAGAAATGCGTTTATTCAGGTGTCTCCGTTCATCATGCGCAGCGGCAGCTCATTCTGATTTGCTTATCTTTGAATGGGGATAATTGCTGGGAGTTGCCAGTGTTCCAGATGGTTCCCTGGTAGAGAGGGARGAAGAGGGCAGCTGTCAGGGGCTCTGCCGAGCACTCCCCCTGCAGGCCTCACGGTGAAGCCATGTGGGGTGATGTGAGAATGTGGGAACAGAGTGGCAGGGGTCACCTGATGTCACCTGCTTATTTCATAACTGGGAGACCTGAGATGCAGATGGGAAGGGACATGCCCAGTATCACACAGGGTGGGCCTAGCGAGGCCTTTTAGTTCCAGAGAACAATCCAGGCATCTTCCATATTGGCCATATTCCCTGCCCCTGAGTCCACCTGGGGCTCTGAGGCCGGGGCCTGTGCGTATCAGGAACCCCTCTCCTTCCTCCGACCACAGGAGACCAGCGCAGCATTGGAGTCACCGAGGCCAGCAGCCTCCTGGGGGGCTCACCACGGCGTCCGTGTGGCCGGAAGGGCTCCCCGTACCACACGGGGCAGCTGCACCCTGCAGTGCGGGTGGCTGACCTCCTGCAACACATCAACCAGATGAAGACAGCCGAGGGCTATGGCTTCAAGCAGGAGTACGAGGTGCATGCACGGCCCCCGTCCACCAGGACCCCTGCCCTGGCCTCCCTGGTCCTCTTCACTGTGGATCCTGACTCTCTCCATCCTCAGCCCAGCCCTGGCTGGACCCCTACTCTGACAGTCTCCAAATCAACCTAATTCTTTTGACCTTGACCTTGACCCTCATCCTAATTGGAAGTCTGACCTTAAATCTCATCTCCCTCTTGGTCCTGACTGTGATCCTTATCCTTCCTCTGATCCGAACCTGGCTGTCCTCACTGAGGTTGGCCTAGCTCCAGCCTGAGGGACTGTCATCCCGAGCTCCATGTGAACCCTGCCTTGGATCTCAGCCTCCTTCCATCTGGACGACGGCACCATCCGCACCCTACCCTTCACCTTTGCCTTCTTCCCAACTCAAATCTGGATTTGGCCCTTGTTCTGAGCCTGACTTGCGTTCTGCACTGTCTGAACTCCAGCCCTTCCCCCTCCTGCCTCCTTTCCCTTGCTCCCACACTCCTTGGTTTTGAACCTCATCCTCGCTGATGAAAGGACCTCACGCTCCAAGTGCAGCCCCGAGCTTGGCCCTCATCATGACCCCACTCCATCCTCCCTGTTGAGGAACAGGGGTCCTGCGAGGCTCGGGGGGTCCTCCACTCCCACTGACAGCCATCTTCCCTATTGGCAGAGCTTCTTTGAGGGCTGGGATGCCACCAAGAAGAAGGACAAGCTGAAGGGAGGCCGGCAGGAGCCTGTGCCTGCCTGTGAGTCCTGGGGGGGGAGCTGGGGGGGAGGGAGCTGGAAGGGGAGCATGGCCAGGGGGAGCCCTGGGGCACTGGTGGAGGTGGTAGTGATCTCGGCCTCCACTTACAAGGGCCTGATACAGCRCTGAGCACTACTCCTGTCACCTCACTCGTCCCTCCCAGTTACCCTGTGAAGTGGGGGACAATATAATTCTCCTTTTACAGGAAACTGAGGCTTGGGGGGTTAAGACCTGCTCAGGCTTGGGCTGGCCGTATACCCCTTGGGCCTCCTTGACTCCACACCACAGCCTAGACTCTAACCTCTGGCCTGTCCTGCACACCCTTCCCGAACCTGCTGATCGGATCTGATCCCCTAGATGACCTGGCTGCCCAGGGGTATTTCCCCCTGCCCCGGCTCTGGGCTCCAGGCACAGCCCCGTCCACCTGCTCTGTGTTTACAGATGACCGGCACCGCGTGAAGCTCCACCCGATGCTGGGAGACCCCAGTGCCGACTACATTAATGCCAACTACATCGACGTGAGTGCCTTGCCCCTGTCCTTGCTCCTGGCCTGGCCCTGCACACTTCTGGCTGACTGTCCAGGCAGGACAGAAACCTGTCGGGGTTCAGACAGCTGAGTTATGAGCACCCCTGTCTCCAGCGCTCTGCTCGGGAGCTCAGAGGAGGGGGAGGATAGAGGGAGGCAGCCTTCAGGACGGCCCCCTGCAGGCTGGAGTCGGCCTGAGAGATGGCAGACCGTGAGACCGAGGGGTGAGGAGGAAGGGTCCCTTCTTGCTGAGGGCCCAAGAGCTTGGGGGTGGGATTCTCACGAGGCACAGTGAGGCTGAAGAGGTAAGCGGGGGCTGGATGGTGGAGGCCTCCAGGGGCAGGCTAAGGAGTTGAACTTTTTCCTAGGGATGCCAGGGAGTTGTGAAAAGTGTTTTGCTGATAATCAAAGTGATATTTAAAGAACTGTAGGTCAGGCTAGGAGCTTCAGCTCAGTGGTAGAGTGCTTGCCTAGCATGTACAAGGCTCTGCGTTCCATCCAACCCCACAAAATAAAGAAATAAAAGAACAGTAATGCATGTTGATTGAGGATGTACTAGGTGCCAAGCACTTTATATTCAATGTTACATTTTATATGACACCTACAATCACACTACACACGTGATCTCCCTTTATAGGTGACCAAAGTAGGATTCAAAGAGGTGAAACTGCTGGTCCTAGGTCACACAGCTAGTGAGTGCTAAAGAAAGAACTGAACTCAGCGTCTCTGTGTAGTTGGAACTTGCTGGATTAGAGGGAAGAGCCAGAGACAGGGCGGGCAGCCAGGAGTCCTGACCATGGGTGTCCAGAAGAGGCCCTGAGTCTCCTCTGTGGGTATGGCTGAGGGAGGTAATSGGGGAGGCCCAGGGACTCTAATCAGGCTCCCCCTGCAGCAAACCAAGCTTGTGAGAGCACTATTTATTCATTTATGGAAATATACAGAATATATTTTGAGTACCTGAGCACCAGGGGTACAGATGTGAATCAGACAGGCGCAGTCCCTGTGGTCCTTGAACATGCATGTTCTAGTGGGGGAGGCCAGTGAACAGACAAGTACAATAACTTCAGATTGGATGGTGAGTACAGGCCAGAAGAGAGGAAGGCCTTTCCCAGGGGCAGGCTGCGTGGAGGAAGCCCGGCTGGAGCTCCTCTGGGCGGCTAGAGCGGAATCCCAGGCAGGGAGCATGAGAACGAGGCCCAAGGAGCAGAGTGTCATGGAAGCCGAGGTAGTTGGGACTCGAGACACCRTCTCTCCTCTCCCTCTTCTGTCTTCCTCCTGGGGTCAGACGGGCCACCCTTTGCTTCCCAGAATCCCTTGCCTTCTCCCCATCTCCTAGCCTGTCCCTGGGCTGGGAWAAGTGCGGGGCCTGACCTGGCAGATGTGGGCAGCTTCGATAACAGAGAGCCTGTCCTCAGCCATGTCAGGGTCCCAGCTGGCTTCTCTTGGGCCCTAGCAGGGACATGCCACTCCCACCTCTCTGGCCCAGCCTGGCCCACCCATYTCTGCTCTGCCTCTCCTGCTCACGTAGACCTTTCTGGCCACTCCTGTGCCGGCCGGGCCCACCTTCTCTGCCTCTGGCCTAACATCTGTCTCTTTTGCTTTGTCTTGTTCCCTCACTGGAATCATTAAGATTCGGATAAACCGAGAAGTAAGTATCTCCCCCTCCTCCTGCTTCTCCTCCTGTCTGTCTGACTGGCTGTATCTCAGACTTTGTCTCTGGCTCTCTCTCCCCGCTCCTTCCCCTCTCCTTGTGTGCCCAGCACCAGTGTCCACTTCAGCCGCCTCGCCAGGGGTGGCCCAGGGCTAAAGACAGCCAGAGGATCCCTGTTGTAAGCAGCTCCTCCCCTCCTCCCCCACTTTGAGATAGGCAGCAGTATTGGGGTRCTTCACCTGGCCCTCTGCTCTGGCCACCCCTGTCTGTCACCTTTGTCCTCAACCCTGTCCTCTATTCCCCATGAACCTTGCTGGCTGTACCTTCTGCAGGGCCCTTGAGAGAGGGGGATGGGGGAAGCTACCCTGGGTGGTCTTGTCTCTGCTACTTAGGGGTCAGGGTCTTTAGACCGTTCCTGTTCAGTCCCCCTAAAACTAGATTCCTGAGCGCTCAAACCCTGCCATGATCAGTTTGTGTAAAACTCAACTCCAACCAGTTAACCGTCAATGTCGCCCAGTTGGAATGTTTTTTTAGGGGAGTGGTTGGGTATTCATTAAAAAAAATTGTACCATCTTCTTTTGAAGAATTAAAACCCTGATTCATCAAGGGAGCCTCTGATTTTATTTTTAATTCATATATTCTATTTTCATTATATTTAATGATTGGGATTCTTTGCTATTTTGAGGATACCTCTTCTATTTTCCTTTAAAAAACACATTTCTTGCTTTTTTTTTTTTAATCATTGCTAACATTCTGCTTGTTATCAGACTTTCAGACGATGTGGAGAGACTGACATAGAAAGTGAAAGGTCCCCACAGTCACATTTGGCAGAGATGATCGATTATCCCAGATGTACCCCTTATTTTAAGTGCAGTCACAAAGTTGGTTTGTAAAATTCTCCAATTTGGAAGAAGGATTAGGCTCACAAAAGGTGGTGGCTTTGAGGACTGTGGGCGCGCCCTGCGGTGGACTGCTTGCCCCATTCTGTCCCTTGTTGTCAGACCCTTGGGAGACTTAGCTTAGTTCATCTTGCAATGCCAGTTTGCAACTGACTGGGTACCTGCTTTGTGCCAGGCACTTTAAATACATGTTTTACCTTTACTGCACTCTGTGAGGTGGGGACCCTATTGACGAGCATTTGACAGATGGAAAAAGTGACTTTCTCAAAGCCAAAAACCAACCTTATCCCTCACACCACACTGTTTGTTGTTGTTGTTTTTAACCCAGGGTTGCTTACCATCGAGCCATATCCCCAGCCCTTTTTATTTTATTTTTTTCATACTGGGGATTGAACTCGGGGGCACTTGACCACTGAGCCACCTCCCCAGCCCTATTTTGTATTTTATTTAGAGACAGGGTCTCACTGAGTTGCTTAGTGCCTCTCCATTGCTGAGCTGGCCTTGAACTTGCAATCCTCTTGCCTCAGCCTCCTGAGCCTTTGGGATTCCAGGCACGTGCCCTGCACCTGGCCAGCTGTTTTTATTTTGAGACAGGGTCTCACTAAGTTGCTTAGGGCCTCATGTTTAGTTGCTGAGGCTGGCTTTGAACTTGTAACCTTCCTGCCTCAGCCTCCCAAGTCTCTGGGATTACAGGCGTGTACCACCATATCTGGTCACACTGCAGTTCTTGTTCTTTGGGGAGCATTGGGATGCCAGGGGTTCTTGCCTATAATGCGGACAAGTGTCCCTCAGACTCCAGCAAGGGTTCAGGTGTGTGACTAGGAGAGGTTCCCMGGCCCTGCGCATCTTCCTGGAGCATGGGGTGGGTGCTCTCTAATGCTGGTCTCTAAGGTGGGTTGGTGCGAGGTATTCTACTCAGCCTCCTTTAAAATTTGATAAGTTTAAACTTCCACGTGTGTCCTCTCTGTCACATAATGGTGCAATAGTATACATGTGTTTAAAAAGATAATGTGCAGGGCTGGGGATGTGGCTCAGTGGCAGAGCACTTGCCTTGCATGTATGAGGCCCTGGGTTCCATCCTCAGCACCACATAAAAACAAATAAATAAAATAAAGGCATTGTGTCCAACTACAACTAAAATTTTTTTTTTTAAAAGATAATGTGCAGAGGGGCTRGGGATGTGGCTCAAGCGGTAGCGCACTTGCCTGGCATGCGTGCGGCCAGGGTTCGATCCTCAGCACCACATATAAAACAAAGATGTTGTGTCCGCTGATGATTAAAAAATAAATATTAAAAAATTCTCTCTCCCCCCTCCCCCTCTCACTCTCTTAAAAAAATAAAGATAATGTGCAGATATGGAGGTTCTTTGCTTAAACACTTGCTTCAAAGTGTGATAAAATGGACCCCTGGACCATGCTTTCTTCAGAATGATGCCTCCAAACATCAAGAGAGAAGGTCCTGGGGGTTCAGCAGAACAGAGCTGAATTGTAGACCAGCTGCTTGTTTATCAAATTGATCTTTTTTTTTTTTTTTTGGAAGCAGTGCCAGGGATAGAACCCAAGGTCTCGTGCTCTACCCCTGAGCCACATCCCCAGTCCAGTTGGTCAGTTTTAGTTGAGTTCTGTTCCTCTGTTGTCTACTGGCTGGTGCTTGAGCACTGGCCCTGTCCTGGGCCCTGGGGTGCAGTATTCAGAGGTGGCTGAATCTGATGAGGTGTCTGGCCTTGGGGGATTCTTAGGGACCCTGGTTTGAGGTGGGATAGGTTGTTTCCATTTGGCTGGTGCCGAGAGTGGGAGGGCAGCTCCTGGACAGCCCTCATCCTCCTCCACCTGCCTCCTCTGGCCTCTTACAGAAACAGTGGCTTAGAGCGGCAGCAGGAGGGATTTAGGGTAGACCTGGAGAGGCTACCATTGTGAGGACTGAGTGACCCTTTTCAGTACTAGCTACAGCTGGGAACTGGGCCCATTAGACTCCCAGACTTGGATCCTTAGCCCTACAGTAAAGAACCTCCCACTCGAGCAGTTCTTGACATTGACACTGTTGGATCTTCAGGGACACTGCTGGACCTTCACATCAGTAGTAGTAGCATAAGAGCAACTATTCAGTGTGGACTCGGTGCTTGACACAGTGCCAAACACTCAACATCGATTGCTTTATTTTCTCCTCAGGACTGCCCTGGGAGGGAAGTAGTGTGGCCGTTCCACCCTGCGGGTGTGGACTTGGAGGCACACCAGGATGAAGGGCTGTTGGCTTTAGTGCATGCAGCTAGAAAGAGGTGGAGCTGGGATTTGAACCTGGGCAGTCTGGCCCAGGGCTTCTTGGGCCTGGGAAGTCCAGGGGGCCAGAAGAGTTAGTTGCAGGGGGCTGGGGGCGAGGGGGAGCAGGGGCTGAACTTGATGGTTTTCTCTCTCCTGCCCTGCAGTACTTCTTCCCTTTTTTGCTCTGCCTGCACTGGTGCCCTGGGTATCGGGTGGGCTCTCTGTCCCAGAAAGAAGAGGGCCTGTCGGGGACCCTCAGGCTATTGCCCTGGGGCCTCTCCTCAGCCCAGGGCTCTGGAGATGCAGGATGAAGTAGCCCTTGACCTCTCTTTGTTCAGGCTAATGCAGGTGAAGTGCGTAGTATGTAGCCATAAGAGGGTCTCGGAAAAGTTCATTGCCATCATTGCAATTGCTTTTAAAGATCTGAGCATTTTATCTAAGAGCCATTTGCTTCCAAACCTGGAGCCTTCATCAGGTCCCCCTAAGCTGGGTGACTGAGGTGGGGGCGGGGCCTCATGGCTGTGGACCCTCTATCCTGAATGCYCTTTGGGGTCTGGGGTTGATTAGGGCTTCAGGGACTCTGGGAACAGGGCAGAGTCACCTTRAACTTTTTCTCCAAATATCAGCCTCATTTTAAACAGATAACCCCCCCCCCATTTTGTGAATTGGGAGACCCTCCAGGCCCACAAGGGAGTCATGTCCTCTCTGGGGGTCACATAGCAAGATGCTGGTGTCCCACTTGTATTCCCTTCCTTGGGGGCAGGAGGACAAGCTCACCCTGTTCAGGAGGCCCTGGCCATGAGCGTGGGCAGTTCCTTAGTGGGGTAGGGGTGCTGCTGGGGGAGAGGAGGAGGGGCTGAGCCTTAGGAGCTGCTCCCTGGGGTCTTACCACACCCTCTTCTGTTGCAGGGTTACCACAGGTCAAACCACTTCATAGCCACACAAGGTACCCGGCCCCTCTGCCCTTGGGCATCTCCGTGTGTTGGAATGCCTGCCTGCCTGCCTTCCCTGGTGACCTGCTTGGCTCCCTGTCTGCTTCCCCATGTGTCTCTGTCCTGTGTCTGATCCCCACTCTCTTTGCCTTGGTCTGTTGGCATCTGTGTCTCAGCCTCTGTCCTCTCTGTGTTCATATCTCCTGATGTGATCAGTTCATCTGTAATTCTGATCCATCTGTCTGTCTCCATGGTGGCATACGTGAAAGGGCTGGGCAGGCCCAGTCCTGGTGGGTGTGGGTTGTGCATCTGGTGTAGTGGCCTCCTGGGTCCCATTTGGCTGAGTCTTATCCCCCTGTCGATTCATCCATCCTTCTTGGAGACTTGCCCCATGGACCAAAGATCTGCCCTCCAGCTCTGCTTCCTGGGTCCCACTCAGCATGATGGGGCTCTCCAGCCAGGCCCTCCCTTGATGCTGCACCCCCCCGGGGTCCTCCAGGCATGAGTTGGCAGCTGGTGGGTGTATGTGGGTGAGCATGAAGCCCTCACTGGAGCCCAGAGAGCCTCCTGGCCTGGGGCAGCAGTGCTGGGCAGCAGGCAGACACTTGGCTCAGGGACAGGTACCTCCTGCACCCCCAGGGCCAAAGCCCGAGATGATCTATGACTTCTGGCGCATGGTGTGGCAGGAGCACTGCTCAAGCATCGTCATGATCACCAAGCTGGTGGAGGTGGGCAGGGTAAGCAGGGCTGGGGGTGAACTGGGGTGGGTGGGCCTTGGGGCAGCGAGGGTTCCACTGAGTCCTGTCCTGTGGGGGCTGCAGGTAAAGTGCTCACGATATTGGCCAGAGGACTCAGACATGTACGGGGACATCAAGATCACACTGGTGAAGACGGAGACGCTGGCTGAGTACGTGGTGCGCACCTTTGCCCTGGAGAGGGTGAGTCTCCCCACACCTGTTCTGCAGCCCAGGGAGCGGGAGGGGTGCCCAGGGCAGCACCTGGCAGGAGGCCACCTGCTTTCTGGGAGAATCGTGGGAGATGGAAGGCAACTGTCTTTGCGGGTGGCTCCAAGAGGAGTTTGAGATGATGGAGACAATGAAGACGGTGGCCTGGTGTTGGTCCTACCCTCTGGGGCACTGTGGCCAGCCGGCCACATGTTAGTGCAGCCCTGGAAAGCTCTGTGGCCTAGGTGCTGACCATTAGCTCCATTTTACAGGTAAGGAAATTGAGGCTTAGGTGACTGGCCAGTAAGCCCTGTCCACAGTCCAGTTGTCTGCCCAGTAAAACCCTTAGGGGAGGGACAGTTTCCCCCTTGGAAGGAAGGCCCGAGAGTCAAAATGATCTGGGTTTACACGACAGGCCCGTGTTTTGACCGTGTGGGTGTAAGCATCAGGCAGAGCTCTGTCCAAGTGCTGTGTGACATCTGCCTGTCCATCCTTGGGAAGGTGGCTTCTCCTCCGTGGGCCTCAGTTCCCTCTCTGGTACAGTGGACGTTTATCCTTCCTCTCCAGTACCGAACCTCACCTGTGAACATGAGGAGGCGCTCCCCACAGTGCCTGGCACACGCAGTATCTTTCAGAGGCTGCCAGCGACTGTGACTGTCCTTCCCATTGTCTCCACAGAGGGGCTACTCTGCCCGGCACGAGGTCCGCCAGTTCCACTTCACAGCGTGGCCAGAGCACGGTGTCCCCTACCATGCCACCGGGCTGCTGGCCTTTATCCGGCGAGTGAAGGCCTCCACCCCACCCGATGCCGGGCCCATCGTCATCCACTGCAGGTGGGAGGGCCAGGGCGTCCCAGGAAGGGGCTTGGCGCTGTGCTGGGGTGGGGTGGGGTGGGCAGGCTCAGGGCCCTCAAGAGGGACTGGGCCTGGCTCAGCCTGCTTGGAGACRGGGCAGAAGAGAATAACCCCCTTTATCTTTGAGTTTGGCTCTGAGGTTGGCATCCACATGGGCCCCAAGACCTGTGTGATGCTGAGGAGGTCCTGAGCCCTGAGGGGCCGCAAGGGTGGCACAGCACCAGGCTCAGTCAGTCCAGCCCGCTTCTGCCCATCAGGTGTTCTGGGTTTGCAGGGGCTGAGAGGACTTCGCCCTTCTCCCCCATGCCCAGTGGCCTTGCATGTCCCTGGCTTCCCTCCCTCTTCCCTTCCTAGCTCTTGCCTGGTTGTCTTCCTGTGACCCCGACTGTCCTTCCTCTCTCTGCTCTGTGTCCTTCGTCCCTCCACTAGCCCTTGGGCTTCAGCGAGTCTCCCGAGGCTGCAAATCCATGGCCTCTAGAGCTCATCCTGGCTCCTCTATTTGGATTTTTATCAGCTTCCCCAGTGTCATGACAGACTCTTTCCTGTCCCTGCCCTGCCACCTCCAAGCCAGCTTCTTAGTTTTCTTTAAGATGTCATCTTTAAAATCTAAGACTTTATGGATAGATACTTAAAGCAAAGTATACTTAGATCCCAGATCATTAAATGTACATGGGACGTGGTGAATTTTCACAGACTGAACACACTGGTCACTCCACTCAGGTCAAGAAGCAGAATATCCATAGAAACCAGAGGCCCCTTAACCCAGTTCTAGAATGTACCCGCCTTCCAGAGCCATCACTGGCCTGACTTCTCAGCCCTGGTCTTGTGTTTGAACTTGACATAAACAGAGTCCTGCACAGGTGCTCTTTGCCGACGTCTTCGGTCCATCGCATGTTTGTAGGTTGTATCATTTTCTTCTGGGAGAATCAGCTATGACATATTCGTCCATCCTGCTGTTGCCAGGCCTTTGGGATGGTTGCAGTTTTGAGCTGTTAGGAATAGCGGTGCTGAAATAAAATAGCAGTGCCAAGGACCACCGAGTGCCTGTCTTTTGGTCAAGAAATGCAAGCATTTCTGTGGGATCGTATGTAGGAGTAGAAATTCCGTCTGGGTGAACGTTCAGCTCTAGCAGAATCTGCCAAGTAGTTTTCCCAAGGGGTTGTGCTGACTTAAGGCCCTTCCAGCAGGGGACAGGATAGGGAGTCATTGTATGTCCTCCCTGACACTTCAGTGCCACCATTTTCAGATGTGAAATCTTAGCGTCGTCTTTGTACCTGCTCCCCCTCAGCTCTGGCGCTGGGCACACGGGTCACAGTGATGAACCCAACACAGCCCAGCTCGCAGTGAGCTCCCGGGGGTTAGGGAGGCAGCCACATCCACCATGACTATGTGGCTGGAAGTGTTTTCATGAAGTCAGGAGGCAGATGGCTCCAGAAGCTCAGAAGAATGACACCTGCCTGGAAGCGATGGAGGTTCCACTGAGTATGTGATGGGTGTGAGCGGTGGGGTCTTGAGGGATGTGYAGGAGAGCCGGGGACACCAGGAGGAAAGAACATTCTTGGAGTGAGCTCTGACATCATCTTTGTCTAATTGCCAAGTTGGACTGGCTTCACCTCGGCCTCTCTCTCTCCTTTCCCCTCTGTTCCTTCTCCTGAGGCCCCTCTCCAACTCTGTCCCCTGTCACAAGGCACCAGAGCTCTTCCAGCAGCCTGCTCCCTGGTGCCTCCTTGCTGGGTCATTTTTCTCCCGTCTTTTCCTTGGTCCTGGGTTCCCTTCCCTGATGTGCCCTGGGGCCTCTCTCTCCCCAGCGCTGGCACTGGCCGCACGGGTTGTTACATCGTCCTGGATGTGATGCTGGACATGGCGGAGTGTGAGGGTGTCGTGGACATTTACAACTGCGTGAAGACCCTCTGCTCCCGGCGCGTCAACATGATCCAGACCGAGGTGCGGGGACCCCACCCTGTCCCCACCACTGCCTCTGGGACCTGGATCTCTTACGAGGAGCTCAGGGAGGGGGCATGTGTCTGCAGGTGTCCTTGGGCTCTTCCCTTCCCCAGGTGGTCTGGCGAGGTGAGCTGCGTGCCTCTTAGGATCCCTCAAACTCAGCCCCTGGAGCGGGGTGTGGGGGTCAAACAGCAAAGGGTGCTGCAGTCAGGACATACCCGGGTTTGTGTCCTCACTAGATCTGTGACCTTGGGCTGTCCCCTCACCTCTCAGAGGATCTCCCAGGGTGTTAGGGGGATGCAGTGTGAGATGAGCTCGCAGGTCCGTGAAGGCTGCTTAGGTAGGACTGGACTCCGCCTCAGGGTCCTGCCTCAGCCTCGCGCTCACTGAGGCCCTCTCTCCTGCACATCCCCAGCTTCTGGTCCCCTGCTCGTCTCATGTTCTCATCTGCTGTTCCAGGAGCAGTACATCTTCATCCATGATGCAATCCTGGAGGCCTGCCTGTGTGGGGAGACCACCATCCCTGTCAACGAGTTCAAGGCCACTTACAAGGAGATGATCCGCATTGACCCTCAGAGCAATTCCTCCCAGCTGCGGGAAGAGTTCCAGGTGGGGGGACGGAGGCATGTGTGCGCGTGCTGGGAGGTTCTGAGTATCATAGGCATTGAGGACCAAGCAGGAGGGCCTAGATAGAGACACAGGTGGAGGGGAAGAGTTGGGTTACTAGGAAGGACTCTGAGACAGTGGAGGAGTGGTGCCTCAGCATGGTTAAGAGCTCATGCTTCAAAGTCAGATAAACCTGGGGTCACATCCTGGCTTGACTAGTTGGGTGCTGTGAGTGGTCTTGAACAAGTCACTTCACTTCTTTAAACCTCCAGTTTTTTGCCCAGAGAAGAAAGATAGTTCACATTACCCTTGTAGCATTTGTAGTCATCAGGATTCTTTTGGTTGTGATAAAAATCCAGCTCACTGACTCCTGTAACTGGGGACCCTGAGGGTGGTGTGGATTCAGTTATGGCTGGATCCAGGGGCTCAGACGATGATGTCCTTTGGTCTCTGTCCACTCTTGGTTCTACTCTCCAGTTCTTGGCTTCATTCTCAGACCCACAGCCGGCACTCGGCAGTGCCAGGATCATGTCAGTCTTGTCAGGGACTCTGGAAAAAGACCCCTGTTGCTTCCAACGAAAACCCTAGACCCAACTCTTGTGTTTCCATCCCTGAACTGGGATCAGGAGGTGGAGCACACTGATGGGTCCAGCTTTGGTCGCCTGGTTCTGCCTCCCCATGCTGCATGGCTGAGAGCGGGGAAGGCCTGTCTCCAGAGCAGTCTCTTGGTCCYCAGGCAGGCAGCGAGCCCAGTGTCCTCCCTCTCCAGGGGTCCTGGCAGGTACAGCCGGACCTCACGTGCCAGGTGCCAGTGCTCTAGAGCCGCCCGGGTAACCTCACAGGAAATGCTGCTGGCAATTCCTGGGGAAGGGTGTCAAGCTCGAGGATCAAGATAGGGTAGGGTTCCCTGTGAGGGGTCCCCAAACAAGAGAAAGAGGCTGGAGACCCGCAGATCTGGATGCACGAGGCCTGCAGGCAGAGGGGTGAAGAGGCCCAGAGGGGTGGCTTTATTCAGTACCAGGTGCTCAGGACTTGCGTTCTGTGACCAGGGAYGGTGGCCACCTCGGCCTGGCACCTGGGTCTGCTATATGGGAGCAGGGATTTCAGGGCCTGTCGCATGGCAGCCCTGCCAGGCCATGCCGATCCTCACTGCTCCTACACACTGGCCTGCTGAGCCGTGCTCTGCCCGGGCTCGGCCTGCTCTCCCTTTTTCCTCCCAGCAGCCCCTGGAAGGAGGCATATTATTTTCCCGTTTTACAGTTGAGGAAAACTGAGGCCGAGGGCTACGGTAGTTGTTGGGGGTTATGTGGACGGCAGGGGGACGGACTCCGYTCTCCAGAGCTCAGCCCTGGCCCTGCCCATCCAGGCCTCCACTCCTGTCCCTTCTCTCTAGACCTCAGTGTCTCCGTCCACCACATGGGGTTAACCGCCCTGCCCAGTGTCCACTCTGCTCTTTGTAGACSCTGAACTCGGTCACACCGCCGCTGGACGTGGAGGAGTGCAGCATCGCGCTGCTGCCCCGGAACCGCGACAAGAACCGCAGCATGGACGTCCTGCCGCCCGACCGCTGCCTGCCCTTCCTCATCTCCACCGACGGGGACCCCAACAACTACATCAACGCAGCCCTGACTGACGTGAGAGCTCGGGGGGTGCGGTGGGCTCTGGAACTCCCTCTCCCAGCAGCGCCTGGAAAGGACCAGGGAGCAGAGGGCGGGCTCTGGTTGGGGGCACCCTCTGCCTATTGAGGGCTCAGGGGGCAGCCCTCCTACCCCTGCTGACCTTCCTCGGGACGTTGTCCAAGCCAGTGACCCCTCAGGTGTTGCTCTCAGCACKCGGGGCTCTGGGTTGTGAAGCCCAGGTTGGGCTGTCTTCAGGATCCAGCCCTCAGGGGCCTTGGCTGGGGAGGCCTTGAAGGTTTGGGGCTGGACTGGGAACCCGAAGCTGGGAGCTGGGAGAGTGTGTCCTGCAAGGTGCAGCTGGACCCTGCTCCTGGTCTGCAGTGGGGACGCGCTCCCTGGTCCTACCTGGCAGTGTGGTCTGAGGGCTCGGGAACCATTTAGAAGTCCTTTTTCTTGCCCCGCCACCCCCACTCAGGGGGCTGCACCTCCTTTACTGTGTGTTGCAAGCAGAGTGGGAGATGGGTGCTGGGGCTCCAGGGGCTGGGGATGCCGCGGGGAGGAGCCCGTGAGTTCCACCTGTGTTCTTCTCCATGGCTGGAGCCAGCTGAGGTGTTGAGTCAGGTGTCAGAGTCAGGTGTTGCAGATGAGACCAGAGAACGTGGCTTCACGTTTGTCACGTGGGCTGGGTGTGCCCTTGCCTGTCAGCCTGTCCTCGGCTGTACACACACAGGCCACCCCTCCCATTAGGGACAGGCCATCATGTTTGCAGGGGTCAGTGGCCATGTCATGTCTTCCGAGAGGAGGGTTTGCTCACAAACCGGCCTCGGGAGGAGTGAGCAAAGGGGGGCCACCCAGACATGGAGACCAGATTTGGGGAGCAGAGGGTCCCCTGCAGGCCCAGGGAAGTGTGCTCTTGATTGCATGGTCCCTCAGCAGGGACAGTAYGGGGCATGGTGGCCTTCTCTCATGAGGGCAAGTCCCGCCCTGTGGCTCAGGGTTTCCTGGTGTGAGCTGAAGGGGAGGGGAGAAGCCCGACCACTGACCACCTGGCAGCCAAAGAAATGAGAGATGTGGAGAGGCCTGGAAGTCACTGTCACTCAGGCTGGTGCAGCGATGGGTGTCTGTGCCTGCTGAGGGGTCCTGGAGAGGTGGCGTAGTTTTGGATGCGGACTTAGGAGCCCTGTGGATGGTCTCCCATCCCTTCTTTGGCCTCATCTGCATGTTTGGGGGCTGGAAAGGAGGTTCTCTGAGAGTCCTGGGTTTCTGAGCGGGGCAGGGTCATATTGCAGCTCCCTGGTCCTGGGTGAGAATGGTGCCTTGAGATGGAGAAGCTGCTGACACAGCCCTGCCCCGACCTAGAGTCACTGATGCCTCAGCCAGTGTGAGTGCCTGGCCCAGGAGCCCGGAGGCCTTGATTCTTGGATTGCATTGGGCCTGTCTGGGGATCCGCCTGGATCTGTGCGGTGGTCAAGTCTTCAAGGAGCCCCAAGGGCACCCAGGCCTGGTTTTGGAGTCTGGTTGGGGTTGTCCTTGAGGAGCTGCTGTTTAGTGAGCTTTCAGAAAGTCCTAGGACATGGGGCTGGGGATGTGGCTCAAGCGGTAGCGCGCTCGCCTGCCATGCATGCGGCCCGGGTTCGATCCTCAGCACCGCGGGTTCGATCCTCAGCACCGCATACCAACAAAGATGTTGTGTCCGCCGAGAACTAAAATAAATAAATAAATATTTAAAAAAAAAAGAAAGTCCTAGGACAGGCAGCTGGTGCTCTGGGGAGGGGGGTCTTCTTTCTCTGTTGGCCCCGTGCAGGGTTACACAGAGCAGATCAAAGTTTGCTCAGGATCAAGGCCAGAAGAATCCAGACAGGGCGAGGGTCCTAGGAGGAGGGCTGGGGTCAGAAGACTGTAGGAGAGGAGCTCAGGAGAGGGAGGGGGACATGTCACAGGATGGGGCAAGGCAGGACATTAGGGGACACTTGAGTCTGGAGCTCTGGTGGGGAGAAGGCTAGGTGCCAGCTCATCCTACAAGGTGAGGTCAGGAGCAGGGTACAGAGTCAGTGCCTGTCCCAGCCTGGAGAGCCAGAGTTGAGATCTCAGGCCATGGAGTCGGTCTAGAGATTCATTTATTCAGAAATATTTATTGAACCCCCAGATGTGTGTGCAATCTCTGTTCTCTTGACCCTTGCATTGGCGGGGCAGGACAATCAGTAAATGAATATACAGTGGAACGTCATGCACTGGAACTTTCTAAGAGAACACCAGGCAGGAGCATTGAATGTTGGTTTGTGTGTGTGAGCGTTTTTGAAGAGGTGGTGAGGGAGGGCTTCTTTGAAGAGGTGAGTTCAGCAGAGACCAGAAAGAAATGAGGGAGAGCCATGCAGACATTTGGGAAATCGGATGAGGCAGCAGGTACAGACTCTGAGGCCGGGCCAGCTGGCTCCACCCTGGGGACTGGTTGCTGTTTTCGTTTGTGGGGGGTCTGGGCACTAGAGGCCTGGGGCCCACCTGTCAGTTCAGGCCTCAGTGTGCCGGGCAGCCTCTGATGTGGTCACTGCAGATGCGGGAAGATGGCCTATGGCAGAGCTCAGCCCACTCCAGGGGCCGTGTACCGCCCACTGAGTGCTGGTGTCCCTGCAGAGCTATACGCGGAGTGCAGCCTTCATCGTGACCCTGCACCCGCTGCAGAGTACCACCCCTGACTTCTGGCGCCTGGTCTACGACTACGGGTGCACCTCCATCGTCATGCTCAACCAGCTGAACCAGTCCAACTCCGCCTGGGTGAGGGCCCCCGCTGGCCAAGGCCTTCATGGGTTCAAGGTCAYAGTCCCCCAAATCAAGAGTTGGGGCCCAGCTGCACCACATGTTGTTGTGTGACCTCAGTTCAGTCATACTCTGTCCTAGAGCCTCTGTTTCCTTGTCTGTAAAACAGGGGTGTCAGACTGGAGCAAAACAGCTGCCTTTTATGGAGCACCCGCAGTAAGTGCAGACTCTGCTTTGCACTTATGGTCTCATTTATGACCGACAATGACCTTGGGGTGGGGATATCWCCAAGGTCACATAACTGGGAGCTGTGCCTCCCATGCTGCCTCCTTCAGAGGTTTTTCCAGGAACTTTATCAGTATCTCAACTAAACTGTCAGACAGGGGGCCTTTGGCTAGAGTAAAATTCAAGCCTCCGATTTCTTGATGGTTTGACCTATAGTCACTTAATTTACCTCTTTGAGCCTTAGTTTCGTTCTCTGTAAAATGGAGACCATCACAGGAGCTTTTATTACAGGGCACTGTGCTGTGTCTGCCTGTGTGGGTATGCTGAATGGGGCAGGGATGAATATGAACAGGTTGATTCTGAGGTTGGCCAGACACTGGCTTGGTGATCTCAGCCTGGTGATGGCCCCTTTCACTCTCCCCATTTCCTTTTGGTCCTCCCAGGGCTGGAGCCTCCTTAAGTACAGATGTCCAGTCTTCTTACCTGGTTTGATCACATGCCCTAGGACTTTGGACCTCCTTACACTCCCCACTTTCTGCCCCAGGATGTCAGGAAGATTTTTTTGTAAAATAAGCACAATGACCTCCTACTGATGATGTGGAGGAAGACTGTAGCTGGCTGTCCCCGTCAAGGTACTGGGGATTAAACCCAGGCACATGCTAGGCAAGTGTTTTACTACTGAGCTACACCCGCTGCCATTTTATTTTATTTTATTTTTTTGAGACAGGGTTTTACTAAGTTGCCCAGCCTGGCCTCCAAATTACCATCCTCCTGCCTCAGCCCCCTGAGTAGCTGGGATTACAGGTGTGTGCCAYTGTGCTTGGCTAGCTGGGCTCTTTATGAGTCAGGCTCTTGGCTACATGATAGGACCCTGCAGGGAAGGGACCTAGGCCCAGGGTGGGGATCTGGAGAGTCCCAGGTGTGGCAGGGCAGACATCCATCTTTGCCAAGATGGGGGACAGGGACTGAGAGGGACCTCGTAGACTTTGCTCATTGCTCATCAGATGGCTCAGGTATTCAGCCAACTTTTCCCAGGGACAGCTCCCTGCCAGTGGGCAGACAGAGGACTCAGCATTTCCTAGATCTCATGTCYAGGAGGAAGCAGGTAGAGAAACAGATAGTGATGGCCCAGAGGAGAAAGGCTATTGTGGAGCTGGCCTGGGGACAGCGTGTGAGGAGGGCTTCCCAGAGGAGGGCGTGTCCTGGTCAAGATGTGGGGGAAGGGTAGTRTTCTGCAGGTGAAGTGGTGGGAAGAGCCATCTGGGGAGGGAGTAGCACGTGCGAGGAGTTGCTGGGACCCCAGGTGGAGGGCGGAAGGCAGGGTCTGTCTTGGTGGTCAGAGGGAAGCCGATGGAACTTGGAGTGTCATTTGGGATGCATTTAGGGGCTAGCCTCAGTAGTGACAGTATCCTCAGCATCTCTGTCCCTGACACATGCTGAGTATCTGCCACCTGCCAGACATAGCACAGTGCAGAGTGTCCTCATGCTCCTTTCCCATGGTCCTCTTGGTAACCTCATGAGAACGGGTCCTGAGATGGTCCCCGTTTTACAGAGAAGGAAACTGAGGCTCAGGGAGGTAAGTGAACTTAGCCTGGTTTCACAGACAGAAGGGAAGATCCTCTCCTGGGTTCCAGGCAGAGAGGAGCTAGATCCCGGGGCTCCTGGCCGATCCGCCTATATTGTGTGTGTGTGTGTGTGGGGGGGGGGTCAGGTGCCTCCCCTGCCTCCAGTCTGTGGTCTGGCGGGGGCAGCTGTGTGGCACCCTGACTCTGTGGGGCCCTGGGGCAGGGGTGGGGTGCTGAGCCCTGTTGCAGCATGAGGGATACCCCACCTCTGTGAGCCGAGGGCAGAGGCAGTGAGAGAGAACCTGAGGGGCTGGTTCTGGGGTGAGCGGGGAGACCTGGGCCTATTCGTGGAAGGTGGCTTCATGTATAGGTGCATGTTTTGCACACATGTGTGTGAGTGTGTGAAGATATAGGGTTCTAGCCACACGGCCATGGGCTCCACTGCCCTGTCTGTGACTGGTTGGTCTTGGCTGATCTGATGTGTCAGTGCTGGACACCTGGGGGCAGGTGTGTGCTGCAGCTGGTGGGTGGGTTGTGGAGAGAGGGGGGACTGGTGAGTCTGGAGTGAGTGGGTGGGCCAGGGTACAGGAGCAAGCAAGGAGCCCGGGTGGGGTGGCTGTGGAGGAGTCCTGGCTTGGCTCTACCAGCTCCGCTGTCTCCACACTTGCCCCAGCCCTGCCTGCAGTACTGGCCGGAGCCGGGCCGGCAGCAGTACGGCCTCATGGAGGTGGAGTTCGTGTCCGGCACCGCGGATGAGGACTTGGTGGCCCGAGTGTTCCGGGTGCAGAACATCTCTCGGGTATGTGATCCGAGGAGCCCAAGGGTGAGAATGGGATGAGGGCAGCTGGGGCAGCCTTGAGTGGCCCTCTTGAGGTCACTCATTAGGGGCCCCTGTGACTCCAATGGTCAAATCCCTTTGGCTGGCTGCCCACGCCCCAGCTGCAGGAGGGGCACCTGCTGGTGCGGCACTTCCAGTTCCTGCGCTGGTCTGCCTACCGGGACACGCCTGACTCCAAGAAGGCCTTCCTGCACCTGCTGGCTGAGGTGGACAAGTGGCAGGCTGAGAGTGGGGACGGACGCACCATCGTCCACTGCCTGTGAGTGCCTGTGTGCAGGGACAGGTGGGGGGGTCAGGGAGCAAGGGCAGAGGTCCAATCTAAGGCCTTAAGGCTGGCACTGGAACCTCTGGGCTCCCAGATGGCCATGGGCTGTCCCCAGCCAGCCAGGTCTGGCACTTTTTTCCCTGGAGGAACCCAGTTTTCAGGTATAGACTTGACCCTGAACAACTGCCCGGTACCTTCTGTGAACATTGGATTTCACCAATTAAGTTTTTTGTCAGAATTTTTCACCTCATGAGATCGAAGCATAGTTTTTTATGCCAGTGGAATTCCAGCCTTTGCTTTCGCAGGCACACAGGCAGTGTCCCCTGCCTCCCCTCCTCTCCCTCCCTCTCTCTCTCTCTCCCTCCTAGTGGTGAGGGGCCAGGTATCCCCTCCCTCCCTCCCTCCCTTCCTCCTTTCCTTCTCATCATGCCCCAATCACAAATCCGTGCAGTGGCTCCATTTAGTCATTTCTTTGCTTCCTGCTTTTACACGTTTCTGGAACTTACCCAGCCCTCCCAGTTCCAGGCCAGGCACACTAAGGGACTGAGTCAGCCTGAGCTGGACCCTCAGGACTTTCAGATCTAGCGGGAGAGAACCCTGGAGAGGGGGCTGAGGCCAATTTGGTCTCCCATCCCCAAGGGACGCCCCACAGGGTGCAGTCTTAGGACAGCGTGGCTGGGGGAAGCCGAGGGTCTGGGGAAGCTGCCTCGTGTGTCTGCGCTGCCCAGCGGTGAACAGGCTTCCCATGTCCATTTTCCATTTTGCTCTCGGTGTCTGCTTGCTGCTCCACTGCCCTTCTCTGTCATTGCCCTTGTGTCTCACTGTCATTCCTTTCCAGTGTGTATGGCCTCCTTTCTCAAGGAATCTGCAGTCCGTTCCTCCTCCAGGATGTATTTTCTGAGATGACATAAAGCTTTAGATGTCATCCCAGACTCTGAGCCGCCTCTTTAACCTGGTCCTGGGGCCACCCTGTGGGCGGTGCCTCTCCCTTCTGTTCCCGCCAGGCCCCGCCCCACCCTTTGCCCCCTCCCTCTTTGGATCCTTAGCCACACCCCTCACCTCTGGCGCCTATGGCCCCTCCCCTCTTATTTCCTTAGATCAAACCTTAACCCCTGGGCCCTTTGGCTCCTCCCAGCTCCTGCCCTTGGCCTTCAGCCTCTCTGACACTGCCCCATCTTTTGATTGCCTGGCCTCCCCCCCCCCACAGGTGCCCAGGCTCCACCCACCCCTGCTCCCAAAGCCCTGCCCCAAACCTTTTGTGTGTGTCTTTTAGAAATGGAGGAGGCCGCAGCGGCACCTTCTGCGCCTGCGCCACGGTCCTGGAGATGATCCGCTGCCACAGCCTGGTGGATGTTTTCTTTGCTGCCAAAACGCTTCGGAACTATAAACCCAATATGGTGGAGACAATGGTGAGGGGCCGCGTGTCCCATGCCCAGCCTCTTCTTTCCTGGTCCGTGCTTGGCCAGGTTCCGCAGCACCCATCCTTCCCTACCTGGTCCCCGCCTTTGGGCCTTGGTCTAGTCCTGCGGTGCCAGAACGTTGTCCCGGTTTTCCCCTTCCCCGGTGGTGGTCCAGGGCTCATGCTTGCCCTCTCCCCAGCACAAGGGAGGGGTCAGCTCATGATCCCTTCTCTCCCTCTCCTCAGGATCAGTACCACTTTTGCTACGATGTGGCCCTGGAGTACCTGGAGGCTCTGGAGTCAAGATAGCGGGGCCTCTGGCCTGGGGCACCCACTGTGCACTCAGGGCCAGGCCCACTGGCAAAGAGGACTTGTCCCCCCAACTCTGCTCAGCCATAGTCCCACAGGGAAAGTGCCGGAGTGGACGCTGGGCCATCTCGATGGCCTCTTCCACGGTGTACAGCGCCTCTCACTGTATCTGTGGGCAGGCTATGGGCCAAGGAGGAGCTGAGCAAGACTTCAGCCCAGCCCCACCTCCAGAGGGTCCTGCAGGCCTGGGCTGAAAGGCCAGGCACAGTGACTGGGGCTCAGAACGGCCAGCTCTGGGAGACCCAGGCCAGGACCCTTGACTGCATAYGAGCCCTTGCTAGAGATGAGTGAGGCCTTGCAGAGCGAGTGTCCCAAGCCACAGGAAGAAAGGAGGAGGGTGCGCTGGGCTTGCCCCCTGGAATCCCGTCTGGACCAGCCCCTGAGGGCTCGGCCCTGATTTGCCAGTGGGACACACTGACCATCCTCTTCAGGGGAACTGCCGTGCCCTCCTTCACCCCACTGCCTCCTGCAGCCCTGGGGTATCTTGCTCACCACCCCTCTCCGCTGCTGCTTCCTGACGTGTGCTCTGAGCTTCCCAGAACCAGGATCTGCCCGTGCCTCCCAGCCCCCCTCCCTGAGCCGCCATCTGCAGAGTGAGGTCACCTCAGCCCTCTCTTCCCTTAGCCTTCAGGCCTTCATGGCTCGGTCATGCTCAGCTTGGCCAGTGACCGTCTGCGAGGCTGACCCACAGCCCCTGGGGTTGAGGCCCCTTTGGCTCCTGGTCAGGCTGCTCCCCGGGGCGGGGTGTGCTRGAGCCCAGCTGGTCACATCCCCTAGTTCGGAAGAAGAACTGAATGGAGGATCGATGCTTTTTGTTTCTTTTGTTATTTTTTGATGGGTGGGTGGGAAGGTCTCCTAAAAATGGGGCAGGCCACACCCCCATTCCGTGCCTCAGTCTCCCCATCTGTAAACTGTAGATATGACGACTGACCTACCTCGCAGGGGGCTGTGGGGAGGCATAAGGTRATGTTTGTAAAGCGCTTTGTAAATAAACATGCTCTCTGAATGCCACCCGGCAGCCCTGTGTGTATCTGACCAGACTGGCGCCTGCTCGCCTGCCCCCGGTCTCCCAGTGCAGTGGGGCTCAGAGGCCTGGGGTCTAGTCTGTTCTTAGTTTTTCTCTCCACAATGTGGTGTGGTGTGTTGTGGACCAGGGCGTGGCTCAGGGTTCTTCTACGTGCAGAGGTGGCTCCAGGGCACCCTGGCCACGGTGGCCTCCACCTAGACCTCTGAAACAGTTCCTCAGACAGTGAGCTTCTTCTGGAGACCCCCCAAGGCCACAGAGCTGCCTGTCACGCCACTGGAGACTTGGTTCTGGGTTCAGTTCTTTCTGGGGCAGCATGAGAGGCTTAGGCTTTGGCATCAGAGAGACAGACCCCACCAGCTGTGAGACCGTAGGTGTAACATGGGGACAGACCTTTTAGGTTGATAGTGATCGAGGGTCTCATATGGTACTAGACATGTTGAGAGGGCTGTTTACAAACACGTGGCAGGGACAGGGACAGAAGAGGAACATCCCTGCTAGGGTTAGGATCACCCAGCTGCCCCAGCCCAGACTTCGGTCTCCCTTACGCACAGAGTGGAAGGAGGAGGGGGCTGGCCAGAAGGGACCTGAGTCACTCCTGATTCCACCGCATACTTGTGTGACTTGGGGCAAGACAGTTCTTGTTTCTGGGCCTCTTTTTTCATATGAAAACTATGATAAATCTGTTCACCCAGACTTTCTGTGGGTCAAAGGATATGACCCCTTCTAAGGACCTCACAATTAAGTTTCCTTTAATCTGAGTTAAAAGTTTATCTGGCAGTTGTGACCCCACTTGGCGAGGGCACAGACTGACTCCCTTGCCCACATTTTGAACCGTCTTTAAGCTTTACCTCATGAGCCTTCAATGTATGTCACCGATACTGGCCGTGCTTTGACCAATAGAATGTGTCAGAAGTGACAGGGTGTGCATCCTGGATCCCAGGCCTCAAGAGGTGTTGCAGTTTTTGTCTTTGTCCTGGAACACTGCCATGTAAGGAAGCCTGTCTAGCCTACTGGATGGCTTGAGGGCACCTGGAAGAGAAGCAGCCCATCCCATGAATAGTCATTATCAACTGCCAGACTGTGAATGAGGCTGTCACAGACCTTCCGGCCCAGCTGATCCCAGCTGATCTGTCAGGTGAGTGTAGCCACTTGATGAAGCTCAAAGAAACTGCCTGACAACCTCTAGATTTGGGAGAGATAATAAACAATTCTTTTCTTAAGCCATTAAGTTTTGGGATCATTTGTTACGTACCAAATACTAACTGATACATACAGTTAGTTTATACAGCTGGATACAGCTTTACTCTTTGCCCCATTAGTGTGAGCTGCTAAAGGGCAGGGAGTATTCTGTGTTCATCTTGCATATCTGTTATTCTGTGTTCATCTTGCTATATCTATTGCCTAGCAAAGAGGTTGTCTTGGAGCTGGTGCTGGGGAAATGTTAGCATTTGGAGTGAAGGAAGAGGGGGTGTGGGCCTGTCTGCCTGCCTGCCTGACCTCATGTGGCCTTTCAGAGGAGCTGGGGGAGTGGGCTGTGTTGCAAGAGGGCCAGCTCCGGAATCAACAAGCCAGAGTCCCCCCCCAGTCCCCCACCCCACCAACGGAGCAACCTTGCATAGTCCCCTGAACACTGTGCACTAAACATACCTACTCACAGGATTGGTTGTGAGGTCTAGAGATAAAATACTTAAAAAGAGCAAGCATCGTCTCTGGTGACATAATCRGCCCTCAGTGCAGGATAGCTCATGTCATAATACAGATGGTCCCTGATTCAGGATGGTTTGACGTAGGAGTTCTTGACTTTATGATGGTGCAGAAGTGATTTGCATTCAGTGGAAACCATGCTTTGATTTTTTGGCTGTTGATCTTTTCCTGGGCTATTGATAGGCAGCGTGATGCTCATTCCCAAGGCTGGGCAGCAGCAGGAAGCACAGCTCCTACTAGCACATGGTCAGAGGGGGAAGAACTAGTGCGCTCCAGGGTACCGTTGCCCTGCTGTGATGTTTGGTGGGTTAGGTAGACTGAATGCATTTTCAACTTGGGATATTTTCAGTTTACCTTGGATTTTTTGGTACGACACCATTGCTAAGCTGAGGAGCATTTGTGCTAATGTCCATGGATAATAAGAATGATGACCATTACCTTTTGGTGAGTTTTACTGTGTTTCAAAACTTACAGTCTTGATCTCTAACTTAATTCACATGACAACTTTTGTTGTTGTTGTTGTTGTTGTTGAACTCAGGGTGCTTGACCACTGAGCCACATCCCCAGCCCTATTTTTGTATTTCATTTAGACACAAGGTCTCTGTTTAGTGCCTCTCTTTTGCTGAGGCTGGCTTTGAACTTGTGGTGATCCTCCTGTCTCAGCCACCCAAACTGCTGGGATTATAGTATGTGCCACTGTGCCCGGCACACATGACAACTCTTTAAAGTAGGATTTCTGCCTACTATTTTTAGAGATGAGGAAATGGAGGTTCAGGGAGTGAGTTTGCTCGCCCAGGGTCACTTGGCCATTATGTGGCAGAGCTGGGACTTGAACCCATGTTCAGGCTGACTCCAAGCCTGGGTCCTGCCTGGGTGGTGTCCAAAGCCGGAGGATCTCCTCCATGGCTAACCCGAGGCCAGGCGTTGGCTTCCAGATGCTGTGAGATGGTGGCCTTTTGGACAAGGTGCCCTGGAGCACAGAGAGAGGAACGGCTCAGCAGGCTCTGTCCAGTCCCCTGGGGCCGAGCAGGTGAGGGATAGACACCCCTACCTCCCACCTTAGCCCAGATAACAGGGTTTCCCTGGGCACAGCAGGCCGCTGCCGTCCTGCAGGAGCTGAGTTTTCTCTTTATGCCATAATAAATACAGCTGCAGGAGCTGCCAAGGCTATTGTCACTTTGTACGACCTGTGCTGGCCACTGATTGGGACGCGTTATACTTCCAGCTGCCTAGGAGACAGAGTCATGACTTTGAGGGATGCAAAGGCCATTGAAAGCCCTGGTTGAGAGGGGCCTGGCCACTTTTTGTCACTGGATACTTCGCCACTGACCTTGATGGACAGGAGCTTAATGAGCTTTGGCCCCGACACCCCATGCCTGAGGGCATTGCAGAAATCATAGTGTTTCCTGGGCAGACTCAACGGGTCCAGGCCAGGCTGCGTCTCGTGGGTGAGGTGGAAGGAGGGCTTTGGATTTGGTGAACTGCAGAAGCAGCACTTTATTTGGCACTTACAGTGTACTGCCGATCGCTTTGTGAGGTTGTCACCTGTCAGCCCCCAGTGAATTCTGGGAAGGAGATACTGTTTTGACCCGTGTTGCAGGCTGAGGCAGTGTCAGCAGCTGCCCAAGGTCAGAGAGCCACGGAACAGGGGCATCCCAGGAACAGTGGTGGCCAGAGCGAGCTGTGAAAACAGGAGGCCAAAGCCTGCCAGAGGACCTTCCCATGGACTCCAGCTGCTTGGGCCTAGGACTGAGCTCCAGGACCCCTGGGTCTGACCTGGCCTCTGCCCCTCTTGTGGGCTTCTTTGCTCTTGAGGTCTCATCTCTAGTGCTCAGGACTCTGACCACCGCCTGGACACCCTTTGCCAGTATCCACATGGCTGGCTCCTTCCTGGGGTCCAGGTCACAGTGTCCATGTTCCCTCCTGAGATTTCCACCCTGAACGCCCTGGATGGCCCTTCAGCCTCCTCATCCCTGTCACTCAGGGCCTTCCTCCTGTCTGTGCCTCGCTGCTTTCTCCCAGGGGAATTAGCTTTTAGTTTGTTGCCTCCCCCATGAGACTGGGAGCAGCCAGTGTGCTGGGGCCATGTGGATCTTGTCCCAGTGTCTCCTGCACGGGACACAGGATCAGGCACATGCCAGGCACCCAGTGAGTGTTTGATGAATGAATACAAGTTGTAGGGTGGGGACTCCAACTCAGGTCCATTGTGCCCCCAAGCACATCATGATCATGCTTCTGGATGATCCAAGCACTCATGCCAGCCGAGGCCAGGTTCCAATGCCCGTTGGGCTGCCACCATGCTGTGTGGCCTKGAGCAAACCTCTACCTTCTCTGGGGCTCCGTCTCCTGATTAAGTGGGAGTAGGTATTTCAAAGGGGGAGTATTGGGTTCAGCATCCCTCAGTGACATTGGGTCGATGTTGCTATCTGGTGCCCAGGCCACTGGCCTGAGCATCTGCCTTCTGAGCCTCATGAAGTCTTGGGCTTCAAGATATAGGAGCTTTGTGGTCTGGGTTTCAGTTGATGGGCCCGTGCACCTCCTCTGGCAGGTCCTTGAATTACACCCACTGCAGACCTTGTTCCTCATCTTCCTAGAATCCTGAACAGTAGACCTCCCCCAGACCATTTGGCAGGAGGAGACAGGTTTGAGAGAGGCAAGGCAAACCACCTAAAGCCACGTGGCCAGAAAAGAACCAAGACAGGATTCAAACTCATGTCTCTGGACTCCAAGGCCATTTCTCTCAAAATCATTGTGGAAATCCTGGTAGAACGAAACCTGAACCACATTAACTGCTGGAAGTCTGCCTTGTCCGTCAGTCCATCTGCTCTCCTAACACTTGCTAAAGCCGAGCTCAGCCACAAATGCCATAAACAGGCTCAGCGGAGGCCCATAATCACAGAGCCTCCTGGGCTTGGGGCCTGGCACCTTGTCGGCCTTCAGAAAGTGCTGCTTAATGAACGGTTGGATGTCTTGACTGTGCAGATGGTGGGGCGGCCTGACTCAGCGAGCGCCAGGGAGCTGAGAAAGCCTTTTCAAGAAAAATGAAATGTGTCTCAACTCACTTCCCACTTATTCCCAGGGGTGGGAAGAGGGAATCTGTCCAGGAATTTTATTTTCTGTTCATTTGAAAGTGGAACAATGTGGCTTTCTTGAGCTGTGTTGGGTATGTGGCTCTATTTTCTTTTTCAAGAGAGCTGGGGACCATGTTTGCTCCCCAGGGCTCCAGCCCATGACTGCTTCT